TGTTGTACATCCTTACATGGAGAATACTACCTAATGGAATACATAGTGCCAACAGTAAAATGGTGGAGGAAAGATAATGGTCTGAGTTTGGTGTGGAGGAACTCAAGTGGCCTGCACAGAGCCACACACCATCTGCCTACTCAAATGGCATTCTCTCTCTCAAGTTCTGTGCTTTCTTCTCCCTGACTCCAACCCCACTGAACATCTTTGGAATGAATTAGAACAATGATTATGCCTTTTTGTCCAAGATCAGTGCCTGTCAAATGCTCTTTTGACTGAATGGGCACAAATTCCCATAGACAAACTCCAACATCTTGTGGAAAATCTTCTTAGAAAAGTGGAGGCTGTTATATCCACAAACGGGGTCAACTAAATATTAATGCCCATTGTTTTGGAATGGGATGTCCAACAAACTCATCTAGGTGTGATGGTCAGATGTCCACAAATCTTTGGCCATATAGTGTACCTCATTTCATATTTTATTCAACGTGTTTTACACTCAGAAGCAGACATGGTAAAACATCTAATCACGAAGCTAATAAATTCAAACCTACTATGTTCAGACATGCAATCTTGAGAGCAGTTAAAAAGGTGAGAAGTTCAGAAACCAAACCTCTGTAGGTGGTTCAGAGGCTTGCTCCCCCAGCAGGGTTGGCAAGAAGTAAATGTTATAGAATGACTATTCACTGAGTTCAACAACTATACCAATATAAGTCATGTCAAATATTGTACTTCTAGGTATATAAGGTATTTACACTTATTTGTTAAGATTGTTATTGCTTACCATATCAAGGTCAAAAATATATAGTGTAGCTTTAATAGAACAAGATTTTTTCCAAGTAATTTTTTGGAGCATTTCTATTAGTCCATTTACCTTACAATGTTAACTTTTAAAAAAACACAAAAATGTGGTGTTGTTTCTGATAGCAAAAATATGTGCTTTACACGTCCATGGAATACACTGCAGAATATCTACCACAGCAGCATACTAATAAAGGTTTCTGTAAATTAAAAACTATCCAAATGGAAAATTATTGTCAACTGTTGACAGTTTTTCATTATGCATTGCATTATGAACACAGACTACTAATATTAAAACGATGAACACTTGCATACTGTGTGGCAGTCATGGCAGTCGAGGATTCATAGTGCATTATCTGGTGTCTCTTGTGCCTAATAGATGGTGGGTAAAAGGTCTGCAGACAAGAAACCACACAGATTTCAGAGTCAATGCACTGCTGTCTGCATGAAGACAGAAGGCGGTCTGACCATCGTCTCCTGTGGGACTGCATGTACAGACGGCTCATTGATCGGGCACGACCCTTCCAAAGCTCCTGAATGGAACGAGACAGACTCAAGTCTGTTTGAGTAAGAAGTGCAATATTGGCCATAAAATACAAGCTAATGCTTCTGCAACTTCAGAGGGTGTCGCATGTCCTGTTTATGTCAGAGCCTGTGAATAATGGAATAATGGTCACTAACGCACATTTTAACTAAATTCTTCTCTATGTGACGGCTATCTCTCTTCCTTAGGTTCATAACAGATGTCTAGCACACAGTGAACATGATTATCTGAAACAAATAAAAAATGTGCTCCTGTTTTAATCATTGCTGTTATTTTTGGGAAACAGCAAAAAATAGCAACACCAAATTAACCACAATGATGTAATCACATATGGAGTTTTTGTATGCTTTGTGAAGAGAGTAAGAAACACAATCCAAAGCGCTTCTATTCACAACAGCTATTGACTAACAGACTATGACAGCTCACCTGTGTGAGCCACGTGCTTTAACAGTGTCATGATTAAGGTCAGATTTAGAGGCTGTAAATAACACAAATCGTAAAAATCAGTAAACCAAATGCATCAACATTTCACAAAAGTAGTAAAAGTTGGTTTATTATAGTTACAAATTATCATGTGTACGTAATTAGTATTAAAACAGATTGTTCAAAGTGAATTATATAATTTTTGTTTTTTATTTAAACCAAAAAGTTTGTTAGTAAAATGCAGTATTATTTAATATTCTGCATTATTTCTAGGTCATTATTCAAATTTAAGCAAATTTGCAAACTGGGGAGCAAAAAGGGGAATTCCACAGATTTTTCTCAGTTCAGAGTGGATTGATGTGAAATGCTCTGTTCTAGAGAAAGTCAGAATTGTTCACAGTGGTGGTGATAGGAACCAGACGTCTGAAGAGTTTACTGCCTCTAAAAGGTACATCACAGAAAGCATTTTTAAATTCATTCATGAGGTAGAAGGACATGCAGGGTACTGTAAGGTAAAATAGCCTGGAAGAAAAATATTTGTTACTATTTTTCTATTATCAACATAACATAAATAAACTCCAAACATGTGTAGGTTTACTGGTCAATTGGAGAGTAAATAAAATGCCATTATATGCTTTGTAGACATCTTATCACCATCACTGTAAAGATATCAGAGTTGGTAAGTTTCTCCATAATGAATCATTTCAAATCAAAACATGCTGAATGACTTTGTTTACATCTAAACCACTGAATTATGCAGAAATTTTATAACATTGGTGGAATTCCCCTTTAAGGCCTTTGTCACAAAAAGGTCAGATTTTTTGTCTTCTATTGAAGCTCATGTTCAGACGACTCTCAGATGGATTTGATCTACTCATCAGAGGCTTTGCACAAACTTGTGGAGACCATGCCAGCACAAGAGCACAGTGTCAATAAAGCCAAAGGAGGACATGCCACCAAATAGTAATTTTTTTTTTCATTTCACTGGTTATACTTTACACTGATATTATTATGATGATAACATACTTTGTAATGAAATATTTTGTATTATATTATAAAGGAATGCAAAATAGAAGCATTTTCTCTAGTGGATTCAGATGTTTGAACCCCACTGTATATTCAATTAAAACAAAATTTTTTTGAAGAAAATGAAAACATTTTGGAAAGTATAACTTCCTTGTCTGAGTTGAAACCTGGCCAAAACTTCAACAACAACAATCCAGACCCTTTTTAGGAATGAGTTCAGTCTTTACAGTCTTACTCTGCTGCCATCTAGTGTTCACAAACATCTCACTCCATGTCCCTTGTGTTTAGCACTGCCTCCTGGGAATTCCTGAATTGGTGCACTTACACTCTGTGTAAAATCCAACAGCATAAGCCACAGTAAGCTACACTGCATGTAATATATAAAATATATAATATATACAGCTGTATAGAAAAGCATTGCCAATAGAATGGGAAACTCTACAGCAACAGCATGTGAGCCTAAAGTCACCATGCCCAATGCCAAGCTTCAGTTAGAGGGGAATAAAGCCCCCAGCAAACTGAGACAAAGTCTTCATTAATACCCTTTAGAAGAAATGTTGGATAAACAGGTTTCTACAATCTTCGGCACATAGAATGTACCAAAATCTCAAATAAGCCACAATATTGTCAACAGATTGCTCATATTTCAGAGAGTAAGAACAGTGCTATGAAAATAGTCCGCTGTAGACAATTTGTGAATTGGTGAAACTAACAGAACATTTTTTGCTCATTTATAAAATTGTTTACTCTCCAACCATGAAATCTTGTCAACTTGTGTAATGTTACTTCTAGATGCAGCTCTTATGCAGATACTTTCTTTTTATAATGTTATTACAGTTAAATATGTTTTTAAGTTTAAAAAGTTCTGTATTTTTGATGCTTTAAATTATGCACAAAGGTCCCACACTGCATGTATTTCATTTTAAAGTACATTAACTTTTCTTGATTATGTGTAGTACTGTGCAGAAGTCAGAGACCACCTTCATTTTATAGTCTAAAAGGACATCAAGTACAATTTAGTAAGGAGATATTTCTGATGCAATTAGACAGAAGACAATTGCCTTGCATAAGGAAAGTCAAAGGAAAATAAGCAAAAAAGTTCTTTCCAAAAATTATTGAAAGATACAGAGAAGATATAACTCGTAGTAACCTTTCAAGACCTGTTAGACCACCAAAACTACCTGATATATATATATATATATAAACAATATATAAAGCTTTCACTCCTGGTTCAGATCTAAAAAGAAAATCCACAAATGTTTCTGTCCATCCTTCCACTGTGAGAAGACAACTCAACACTGTGAGTCTGAAAGGATGTGCATCTGTCAAGCAGTCGTTACTGAGAAAAGTAAATCAAGCAAAGAAGCTGCTGGTGTTCTCACAACAATGGACTGACCACCCCAGAGTCCAGACCTCAACAGTACTGAATATGTTTGTGATTTCTTGGATTGTGAGAAGTAGAAAATGCAACCAATGCCTAAGACTGAACTTTCGAGGTGTGAAAAAATATCCCAGCAGATTTCTTTAAAAACTGAAAGCAATGGAAGGTGAAAAGTAGGCTAATAAACACACTAAACACTGAAAAAAGCAGAAATTATATTTAGTTATTGAGGCTTCTGTGTGATTGTAAAAATGTGTAAAAATGTTCTTGTTTCCTGATGTAGAAAAATGAATAACTAGTACTAGTAAAGCCTGTTTTGACATGAAATATATCAAGAATTGTAAAGTACTCTTTCAGTTTCAAATGACTGCTTGGTGCAATTTCACCATCAAATCTGCTGAAATGCTCCTGGGGAGCCAGAAGGTGATCTTCCTTCTCAAACACACCTGAGTTAAATCATCTATTAATTGCAAGGTTTAGTGGCTGTCATCAAATCACCTGTGTCAGACTGGGTTCTACTGGTGTAGGTTAAACATAAGGGTTTCAAAAATGCATTACAGACCACTTTCATGAATTTTCTTGACATTGCTGAGTGGGCTTTACGTATATCAATAATATCAATGCTAAATTATGATCAATACCACCTTTATTAGAGAAATAAAAATGCATTTTCCATTATACGTCAGCTGTTATTCTTTTCAAAAACTTTTTATAACCACAAATGTTACAAATGAGATACTGCATGTAGTAATGACTCTTCATATGCAGTTTTAATTTTTTTTAAGTATAAGTATAATAATTCAAATAGATGTTTTCATTTTTATCATGTTTAATAGAGTAATTACAATGTTATCACAATGTTATTACATAAAGTTTCTTCTTCCTCCGCCGCTAATATCCATTATATGAGTTCAGATGGGTTTTAAAGCACTCATCTGAGAAAGCAGTGATGGCTACACATGTAACTGTGTGGACTGTGCACAGCAGCTCATGAACATGTAAAAAAAGTGAGATGCCATATTGCAGATAAACATACAGTGCAGTAAGTAGACAGCCTCCGATTTCAGTAATAACCTTTTCTTCTTTAACCAACAGAGTGCAAAACAGCCCTTTTTTTAAAAGCTCAGATATCAAGTTGGTCAAGGATAACATTAATTCCTGAGATTAGTACATTTTCGTGAATAAATGGGCATCATGCTAGTTTCCCTGGTGACGCAAGTACTTCTGTGACTTGAGTTGTCCTCCTATTTTCGGATCTCTCACGCCAACGCTTGGAAGCATGTTTGCTGCAGCCATAACCACGAGGAGAAGCGTTAAGAGTGTGACACACAGCAGGGGTGATAAAGGAATGCATCACTCTTTAAGCTGCACTTGGATTGCAGCTGAAACATGGTCAGTTTGGCCTTTTTAGGTAGCAACGCAGCTATTTTAAATACAAGCCCTGTCACTTTCACTGACGCAGCCAAAAGCAAATGACATACCTCAGCAGTGGAAGATCAAAAACACCTCCAACATCCATTTAGTCAGAATGTAGCTAACTTGGCCTCATTGAGTGAAAGTGTCTTAAATGTAGCAAACAGCCCTGTTAGGTACAGGGGATTTAGGGGACAAATAAAACTGCTCGTCACTAAACACGAGGCAGTTTAACTGCTGTTAGGTTTCTGGATACTAATGTGCGACGGTGGTACCCATCAGATTCCATTCCATAGTGAAAGCGCATCAGATCCATCCATCTTTGTGGAGCACAAGGCTGCCGATGCAGAGACTACCGTTCTTTAGTCAAACCCACCAGCCGAGCACTCTCCTCCCACAGTCTCCGGGCCACTTCATCGTCTTTACTCTCTGGAGCCGGCTCCCTCTCAACACAGTCACTGTACAAAACAACATTTGATTCACATTACATTATTATTTAAATGTATTTATATAGGTTAACTGTAATTGTACATAGTTAATTACATTTACATAATGAATTACACTAGGACTGTCACAGTCATTACATTTTAGCTGACAATTGTCACATAAATAATTGTGATTAACAATTTATTCTTTTTTTTATGCAGGTATTAAAGTACGAGCCAAAAGTGACCAAATTAGCTGATTAGCTTTCAGATCTTGCTTTCTAGCTGTCAATACTTAGTAGCTCCCAACCAACGTCAGACACAGCTCCAGCTCAAATAAACAAATACTACTCATTGCGGCCCTCTAAACATGTTACAGCACCAGTCAGAAGTAAGGTTGGATATTGCTATTTTGTGCTTGAAGTGGTTATATTTGTCGACCACAACAGACTGCAGACTAATCAAGAAGCGTAATAATAACATGTGTGCAAAATGTAGTTCAGACAGCCAATCAGCAGTCTAGATTTTGGAACAAACCTCGTCAGACGTTAGAACTTTTGTTGCTTTCCTAAGACCCATGACATGTCTCAGTGAATGCTTCTTTCTGCTTTCTTTTATTTGCCTATATTTGCATCAACCGAACTGATAAAACTAACTCAATACACATTCTGTTTGCTGCAGCGGAAACATAAAAACCACAAAAACGTCACACAAAAACCTTCCATTTTTGTCTTTTTTTTCTTTTTTGCAGAATTTGAACCCCTTGCCTTGTGTTAAAATTTCATGATGAATAGTCCAACAAAAACGGTCCAAAATTACTTGGAAAAAAATCTTGTCATATTAACTTCCATTACAAGGGTTTATTTTTTGTTGTTCCATCTGAATTTACATGCCCAAATCATAAGGCAAATTATTCAGTAACTGCATGAAATTAATGTACATGTAAAAGCTCCCCTCAAATTAACAGAAAATGTGTTTTATGATCATACACATATTGCTATATGCTTACAATTTACTGCTGAAAGCCAAAACTTTCATTCTTTTCACTTTGTGTTTTTTTATAGAGACACCATCTGGGATCCAGTTTATAGCTCAGATTTGTGGAAAATGGATCAACTTTCAGTAGAAAAAAAAATTGTGAGTTCAGCTTCTTTTATTATAAGGGTTTAAAATTACATTACCCATCTATTTGACTGGAAAGAAGACAGTTACAGTTCTCATATGACACCCACCTTTTAAATGTAGCTTATGAAATATGAAAGTTATGAAGAATATGACGAAGTACGTTTTGGAACCACCAGTGGTCCCAAGGAGTTAAAAAAGGTTAAGAATGTTTTTAACATTTCCTGTAAAGTTACTATTTTGGAGATACATCAATAAGATGCATCTCATATACACCAATATGATTGTTACAGCTAAGTAACTGAGATCACTTCAAATCATTGCTATAAGGCAATTATAATTGTGACAGTCCTAGCATTTACATTCAATTTTCTCTGTGCAAAACAAGACTACATACAATATTTTTTTAGCAAATTCAAATCAAATTTATCCTAACACAAATATTTATTATTTCACCCCTTGTATCAGTGAGTTACGTGTGAGAAATAATTAACATAAAATTACAACATGCTTTTGTTATTGACAGTTGCAACTTGATAATAGATGGTTAATAACTGCAACTTGGTTAATAATACTAGACTATTTGCTACTAATAGATGTGACTAATGCTACTAAACCTACCTGAAGTAGCAGCCAGATTTGCTCTCTAGGCCCTCAGTCACAGCGCAGTAGATGGATGTCTGTGCACCCTGCCAGGGTGTTTTCATTAGCAGGATGCAAGGGAGAGAGAGTACAGTCTTCAGCAGCGGGTGCCAAGACTCCACATGGCGGCCCAGCTCTGTGCGGATCACTCCAGGGTGCAGGCTATAAGACGTCACCCCAGTACCTTTGGAACCCACCACGGAGCAAACAAAGAAATATGCTGTTACTTTATGTGACTTGCAAAATGAATCCTCATAATTAACCCATTATTTGTTCAGATCAATAGCTGCATTTTACCTCTCATCCGACGACCAAGTTCCCTGGAGAACAGCACATTAGCCAGCTTGCTCTGTTTGTAGCTGACCAGAGAGTTGTATGGCCTCTTGTCAAAAAACAGATCATCAAATTCAATCTTTCCTGCATAAAAACAGATTCAAAGATTGCAGTGTGCTTAGAAAGTGTCACTTACAGGGAATAAAGTACAAACCCAATTCCAAAAGAGTTTGAACAGTATGTGAAATGCTAATAAAAACAGAAAGCAGTAATTGGCAAATTCTGTTTGACCTGTATTAAATGGAAAATTGTACAAACATACAATAATCTGTGTTATACATTATGAATTCATTGTTTTTCATTGCGAAGCCTGCACTATGTTCCATAAAATAGTTGGGACAGGAGCATGTTTACCACTGTGTTACATCACCTTTCCTTTCACCAACACCTAATAATCTGAGGTGTAGATAAGACTGAAGAGACCAATTGATCCAGTTTTGAAAGCATACATTTTTACCATTCTCCTGTTACACTTGTCTTCAGTTGTGCAACTGTACAGGGCCTTTGCTTTCGCTTTGCTGTTGTATTTTGAGCTTAATAATGCAACTCATGTTTTCAATGGGAGACAGTTCTGGACTGCAGGCAGGTCAGTCTAGCACTTGCGCTCTCTCATTATGCAGCCATGCTGTTGTAACATGTGCAGAATGTGGCCTGCTGTTATGCTGAAATAAGCGTGGATGTCCCTGAAAAAGACATCATCTAGAAGGCAGTACATGTTGCTCCTTTCACAGAGCTAATATCACCAAATTTCCCCAAATCATAATAGACCCTGGCTTTTGAACTTTACACCAGTAACAATTCAGATCTTTTTCTTCCAGAAGAACCTAGTCTTTTTCTTCTTTGGCCCCGAGAACACAACAGCCATTATTTCCATCAACAATCTGAAATATTTCCACTGAGCATCAGTACATCTCAGATGAGCTCAAGCCCAGAGAAATCGGCAGCTTTTCTGGACATTGTTGAAAAATGGCTTTCACTGTGCATAATACAGTCTTAATTTGTAGTTGTATATGAGTGACGGACAGTATTTATGACAGCAGTTTGTTAAAGTATTCCCGAGCCCATGTGGTGAAATCCATCACAGAATAATGCCAGTTTTTAATGCAGTCCCGTTTGAGAGATCAAAGGTCATGGACATTCAGTTGTTGTTTTCTGCCTTGGCTTATATGCACAGAATATTTCTCTGGATTCCCTGAATCTTTTGTTGATAGAGGGCGAAATACCTAAAATCCTTGCAGTCACTTGCTGAGGAACATCTTTTTTAAACTGTTGTATTTTTTGCTGTGGTATTTTTGTTAAACTTTAACCAATCTTTGCTCATAAACTCATGCTAGTTTTGGAACTAGTTTCAGGCATCAATTTCAGAAAATGTGTATATTTACAAAAAACAACAAATTGCTTTTTCTGTTTTTATTTGCATTTTACTAACTTGCAACTTTTTTTGGAATTGGGTTAGTAAAATTATTTATATTCATCAAGGAATCTCTGTATTATTCACAGTTATTTGAAATTGTAGAATTGCATTTAATACTAGTCTGACCTAGAAACAGATCTGTCAAGAATCTTGGATTTGCTGATTTGCAATCAAAAGAAGATTACCGCCAACATGTGCAATGCTGGACACAGTCACCACACGACTGGGGGTGGAGCTCTTAAGCAAATCCAACAGGAGATTGGTGAGCAGAAAGTGGCCCAAATGATTGACTGCCAGCTGTGTCTCGTAGCCATCCTCTGTGATCCACTTAGGACACATCATAACACCTATTACAGTAAACACAGTGCAATGTTTCTTTAAAGATTCATAATAATAATTATAAATACTTAAAAATGGCTATTTTATTATAACTCGGATTAGCACTGCTTATTTGATCTTTGGTGCTGATTAGATGCTCTGCTCCTTGGTATTACATTTTACTTACATTGATAATTCAGCTCCATTTTACTTTAGACAAAATGGAAAACAAAGTAAAATTGAATATTCATAACAAAAAAATTATAGAAATCAATATTGCCGGTGCCAAAACATCTACCAACCTGAAGTACTGCTAACAGAGGAGAATCAAGGACAACATAGGCAGCCCCCTACTAGTCAGCTAAGTAAATTTAGCTAGCATTAGTGCTCCAAAACTCCTTGCTAAGGACAAATATAATTAATATTGAATTTGTCATTTTTGCCAGATGTCGTTCTCTATTTCTCTATGTTTTGGAATCAAGATTATAGTGTGGCATCGACTCCATCAATTCCTGTCACTTGGAAACGAAATTGTAGTCAACTCCAAAATTTCTGGAATAGAACAGCCCTAACTCAAGCTACATTTTATGCTAATACTCACTAAATTCATTTTTGTAGTGTTTTCCAAACATATGCTATAGCTGGATGCTCCACACCCCCCTCCTTATTATCCACACAGAAAGGTCTTGGTAGATGATAGCCTTTACCTGCATTGTTGATAAGGATGTCAAGTCGTTCTTCTGTGGCTAAGAAGTCTTTGGCAAACTCACGAACAGAATAAAGAGAGGCCAGGTTCAGGTGTCGGATGACCACATTCCCGTTTCCTGTGGTTCGCTGAATCTCCTCCGCAGCCTTCTCAGCCCTTGTCAGGTCCCGACAGGCCATCACCACCCGAGCCCCTTAAATTCACACACCACTCATAGCACAGAGCAGCACGACAGCTTGGCATGAGTAGCAGCTCTGAATGATGTGTCATACCTCTGCGAGCCAGATCCCGTGCTGTTTCCTTTCCGATGCCAGTGTTGGCTCCGGTAATCAACACTGTCTTTCCATCAAGGCGAGCTTTACTTTTGCACGTACCGCCAGCTATCCATTTCCGCACCAAAATAAGGCCTGTGTGAGAGACGGAAATACTGTTCACAGCACAGCACTGTTAACTGACACAGCTACACCACAGTCCCACCGTGAATGCTGAATGTCAAATGTAAGTTCAATATCTAAGTTTCACACCTCAATCCTAATACAGATCTATATTTTTATTTCTATGCAGTTTAACTATAATTGATAGAATATAATTAATTATATAATTAAATATTAATTACTACATAATTAAACAGATTTAAGTAGAATGTACATTTGGTCTCTTTTTGCTGTATTTGCTTCATTTACTTATTTATGCTTATTGTTTATGTTCTTCCTTTTTAGCTGTATGTATAATATGCCATTATAATAATACAATATTACTCATTATAATGCCTATTGTTATTATAATCATCATTGTTATGTTAACGTTAGTATCTAATACGAATATTATCCCAATACTACAGCTGCTGTTGCTGTGAGAAAATCTTGAGCCTTTTTGAGTGGTTCTTAGGGATGATATACTAGGTCACACCCTGGATCTGGTAATGAGTAAAGGTTTAAACAAAAATGTGTCCCTGATTTCTGAAGTTTTCATATCAGATCTTTTCTATTCTAAGTCTATATCAAAGTAAGGAAAAAGTCCCTGAAAATTATTTAAAAAAAACATTACACTGACTGAGAAACTGTTCAGAGGTTTACAAATGTTTCTCCTGCAATGATATGGTCTCCAATCTAAATGCTAGATTAAAGGAAGCTCTTGACATTCTTGCACCAGTCAAAATGGAAGAAAAACTCACATACTCATAAAACTCTGTGGATCAATGAGGAAATACACTAGCTTAAGAGGAACTGTCGTAAATCAGAGCACCTATGTTGGAAAACTAAACTGCAGGTGCATTATGATATTCTCAAAGACGACCTACATTAATGGTATGAAAATATCCAGTCATACCTCTCTAGTGAAATGAATAAAGACAAAGACAATACCAAAGTCCTTTTTCACTGTAGACCAACTAAAGAACCCTGTTTTCTGCTAGTATTTTGTTAGTGTGTCTTATGGTGATTTATCTTCTAAAATGTGTGAAGAGTTTACAATGAATTTTCAAAATAAACTTGAAGTTTAATTGTTTTAAACAATTAAATGTTTATCTAATATCAAACAAGTCATATGAGAAATTTCACTCAGGTTTTTGTTCTAACCGTAGTACTGAGACATTGGTTCGTGTCGTCAATGACCTCAGGCTTAGCGCTGATGTCCCTCTATTTTGGTCTTATTGGATCTTAGTGCAGCTTCTGATACCATTGATCACAAGGTTTTAATCCAATGTCTAGAATACTAGGTAGGTTTCTCAGGAACATAATTTAGTTTTAGAATGGTTTAAATCATATTTAGTTCTTCTTCACTGAGAAATCATTCATCAAAAAAAATTACATTTCCTGTGGAATCCCACAAGGTTCAGTTTTAGGGCCTTTGCCTTTTTTTTGTACATGTTACCTCTATGTGATGTTATTAGAAAACATTATATCAATTTTCATAGCTTGGTGCTAAAACTCAGAGAAAGCTGCTTTGTGAGAAGCTTTATGGTATAGCTTTGTATACCAAACCTTGAGTATGAAACCTGGGTGTAATGTTAGATTCTGAGCTCTGTTTTGTCCCATATGTAAAATTCACTAAAGTAATTAAAAGATACACAGAGAAACTTGTTCATGCATTTGTAACAAGCAGAGTTGATTACTGTAATGCTCTTTTTACCTGGCTTTCTAAGAAAACAATCCATCCTCAACAACACGTACAAAATGCAACAGCACAAATCCTAACTAACAAAAGGAGCTCATATCACTCCCATTTTCAAAAAGCTGCAATTGCTACCTGTTTCATTTAGGATAGATATTAAAGTTCTGCTACTGGTTTTTAAGGCTCTAAGGCTCTAACACCTGTCTGTATATTATTATTATTAATACTAATAATAATAATAATAATAATAATATGACAAAAAAAATCATAAAAAGACATTTTATGAGACTGACCAAAAATCAGTTTTGTACCATGAAAGTAGGCAAACTTATCGATTTTTTTACTGTGTGAGTTGTGTGTAAGTGACTAAATTTAATCACCCTGTCTGTGCTTGTAATATACAACCAAATTGAAGCTTATTTATCTCACAGCAAGAGGAAGCTAAGCTAAAACGCAGCCTCCACACGGCGGGGTTAGTTTCAACACAGTCACTATTAAGTAAAAAAGGTGAGAAGTCTATATCATCCAGTTATATTTTTATGTGCAGAACTATTAAAAACACGATACAGATGTCAAATACAATATTTTAATTTTATCATGCTGAACGCTGTTCTGCTTTATTGGTTTAAAAAAAACTAATCACGTTTGGCACAACCTTTTCTCACAAATGACTTATTTGAACGATTTTAAGGCATATCTTGTATTTCGGCCAGGCAGCTTGTCTGGGTCGAACAACATAGAAATGAACTGAATTCATTGTGTTTTGTATCGATTTTCCTGACTGTGGTGACTGAGGTTACTACCTCTACCTAAGCCCGCTTATGGAGTGAACAGTTCTTCTCTGAAATGTCCTCCTTCCTCAGACTGTCTAAGTCACATTACGTAGTTTGTAGCCAAGTGCTGTTATATAATACTGGAACTACATGATGTTACTCTGTCAGGGTCCTCATGAATGTATGGCGAAAACTAGGAGAACTGGCAAATTCATCAACATTTCCCGCCAGTCACCGTCTCGTTTTCATTTGCTGGTCAACAAGCAAAGCGAAGCGGATTTCGGCTTCTTATTCGAATTTTCCGTTCCACCTTAAACACTGCTGCAGCTACATTCAGCCAGCTATAGGCGCCGGACTACGGCTCCTGTACCATTTAAGGTGGAACGGAAAATTCGAATAAGAAGCCGAGAAGCCAGAGCAGCTGCTTGGTGTCAACTGGGCTACAACGAGGGACCGAGACAAAAAAGAGAGCTAAAGGGGACTTACAGCCTGCTGTCAGCGAGAGGACTGCGCCATACTTCACATAGGGAGACGACACAACCTGATCCCACATCTCAGCGGAGCTGCCCGTCTGTCTGTGGAGAGTCCAGGAAGAAAATCCGCCGGTGTTCCCTCCTGAGGACACTTCACTGTGTGTCGCCTTCGAGTCAGACACTCTCTCTCTCTCTCTCTCTCTCTCTCTCTCTCTCTCTCTCTCTCTCTCTCTTTATCTATCTCTCTCTCTCTCTCCGTTTGCGGGCGAATGGGGACATGCCGCAGCTTAGTGCCCTATAAGCTTCGCCTACTGGCTGATTATGTGCCCAGAATTACATGTCAGGCGGATCGAATTGGAAGGAGATAAAAACACTGACTAAAACAGACTGTGTCGCCTCTGAGTAGATATCCATCTACTGTTCCGCTTAATGAGAGAACACGACCGGGCCCACGGTCCGTAGAGCACCATACTGACCGGGCAAAAGGAGATTTGACTGATCCAAGCTCGGCTATAAATCCAATCATCGTGCTATAGAACACTAACGGATTATGTATAGGCTATCGGGGGCTTTATAAAACGCTTAACGTGAAATAAAAGCTTAGCGTGGCTTAATGTACTAAAACAGCGACCTACAATCTCCAGATCTCTCATACACTATAGGCTATCTGTCCAAATGTTTGTGGACTCCCCTCATTGTTAGTGAATTCAGCTGCTTTAAGGCGCGTCCACTGCTGACACAGGTTCAAATCCGCACACAGCTGGTATAGAAAAACATTGCCAATAGAACGGGGTGCTCTGGAGCAGCTGCACATGAGTCTAAGGTCACCATGACCGTTGCCAAGCATAGGCTAGAGGGCTATAAAGCCCTCCAACACTGGACTGTGGAGCAGTGTTCTCTGTAGTGATGGAGCTCCATCCATCACCTTTGGGATGAGTTGTAGTGCAGTTTGTAATCCAGAACTGATAACCCAACATCACACACAAACTTTTGGCCATATAGTGTATGACTGATGAAATAATGAAGCGGTAATGTAAACATAAAGTGCTCATTTATTTTTTTTTCTCCATTAAACCCATTATAAGGAAAAAGCAATTAATGTGTCTTCCTCAGAATGCTGTTTAGTCCAGGACTCCCTGTCTGGGAAATCGTGATGTGGTGAAACAACAATATAGGAACACCAAATTTCCCTAATCATGATCACTTTCTACTAACAAAAAGATTAACATGTAATCTAAAAACAGAGTAATGATTTTCCCATAGTAATATTTCTCCATGTATTAGGGAAAACCTTGACATGGACCAACAAGCTATAACAACCTGGTTGCATGGTAAATTGGTTCTTCAGCTTGATGGAGAATGTGTTGCATTTGGTTCTATATAGAACCTCTTTGAAAAGGGAAAGCACCAAAAGGGTTGCTCTATTGTCAGAACCTTGACATAACAATGTTAACAATATATATAGTACCCTTTTTGGTCCTATATAGAATTATATAAGCATGCAGATGGTTCTAAATAGAGCAATTGCCTTTACTAAAGAACCGTTGAAGAAACATCTTTTCTGTTTGTATTTAACACCAAACTTGTCTAACGTATTACTGATACAAGCTCAGGTGTAAGAGAACTGTGTTTCTATGTCTTATGTAGTGGCATGTCCTCCACCATACACTGAGTCAGTGGAAAACTTTCTGAATAATTTGAATGAAATTTAATTTATTGAACAATTCTAACTTGACCTATGCTCACACCAATGACTATAATGATATACTAAAAATGTACCTTGTTATCTTGTTTATTTTATTGTTTATTTAACAACAAGGCAAACATCATCTTATTTAACCAGACGCTGTGCTGGATCACGAACCTCTGGGGGTCATAGGACCCCTGTCTGAGAGTCCCTGGCATTAAGTAAAAACAAGCAGCAAACAGCAGTTCACTAAAAACAGCACTATTCATCAAATCACACACTCGTACAGCCCAGTGTGGAATGTACAACACTGTAATGGTCTAATTGGAAGTGGAAGCAGATGCTGAAGTTGTAGTTTAACTATAGCTACACGGTCATCCACTTCATTCACCCACGACACACTGATGCTGGCTGGGCGTGATTATGCACACAGACGGATCCGCTTCGCCTACAACAGCGTTAGTTAATGTGACAGTGCGGCCGCCATTGTTCCTAAAGCGTATTTTTCTGTCTGAGCAGTGGGAGCCAATCAGAGTGCGGCGCTGGGACAGGATGTGACGCAGGAGCAGCCTCCACCAGTCGGGTAGGTGCTCCTGAAAACGGAAAATCGTCGTCGTCGTGTCGGCTTTTTATCCCTGTGTGTTAAGATGTCGTTTCTCGATACGCTTTTAAAATGGTGAGTACGATTCATAACGTCCATGCCTTCACTACGAGCGCGTGCTCCGCAGTGGAGAGCGAGCGCAGCCGTCGCGAGTCTGTGTTGTTTTTATCGGCCGCGCAGGGAGAACAATGTGCGGAGTAAAGCGGCCGCTGAGCGAACGTGCTCCGCCATGCCGACCAATTGAGAGCGCTCAATTTCTGGGAATGTCATGTATATCTTTAACGAGCGACCTTGTGAGGACAGTTACACCGTCACCGTCTGTTTTTCAGTGCGCTGTGCAGTTAAAAATTATGTGGTCTTCCTCTTAAACCAGTTCTGTCAGTTTTGCATGACGGTGTCTTGGTGCGGCACAGGGACTACTTTTTTCTCCGCCCCTTTCACCAGATCTGTGAAATTGCGCTGCGTCTGCCTTTGGGAATTTGATTATTAGTAGGTGCGGAGTCAGACTCACGCGCGTGTGCACAGTGAATACCCTTTTCTGTTTGGTGTAAAATTATGTTAAGTAAAATATGTCTTGCACAGTTTATTATATTGTATGATATTTGTGTGTGTTTTTTGCAGGTGATAAAATAATGCCACCAGCGTTACTTGCGTTAGTGCTCTGGCCTAACTGAGTATAGTTTCAGGCCACTGGAAGACGAGGAGGCTCACAAACGTCATCTTAGACTAATCCACACAGGTAATTCAGAGGCACATTTATAGCTAAGGAAAAGTTTTCTGGAAACTAGTAGTAAATTATATATTTATTCCCTTTGAAAAGTCCACCACTGTACCATACTAAAATATGAGGTCAGAAAAGCCTTATGCCGATATCGTTGCTGCTCATGTAAATGAGTATTCATTATTGACATGATTGCATTATTCATCGCAGCAGGAAGATGGAGGACGCTGATTTGTTTATGGAGTGTGAGGAGGAGGAGCTGGAGCCATGGCAACAGTTAAACCAGAACCAACCGGATGAATCATCAGGGACGGCTGGAAGTAAGACCTCCACTGGTAAGTGTGATTATTCTCTCATTATTTATAGTGACTGGATTCATTTCACTTGGACATTTGACATCACATGTTCACTATTTTAAAGTTGATGTTTTTGAGCTAGGTTAGCATGGTGGCTCACGTAAACAGCAGTTTTGCTCAGTGGTTGCACTCATGGCTCATGGGTGGTCGATAATAGACGTGCGTCCTGACCAAATAAGGAACTCCATGTTATATATTGTTATATACATGTGTTATATATTATATAAATATAAAATATAATAATATTATTGTCCCATGTAAATTGTTCCCCTCAAATATTGCTGGATCCTGTAAATTAGAAGGTCGCTAAGAAGTCGAAATATGAATATTGCAAATCTGCATCTGTGCAACAAGCAAGCTAACACTCCTGCATGTTGAAAGCAAGCTCATTGTTTTGTGTGGGGTGTTTTGGTGAGGTTGACGGTCTTGTGATGTCAGTGCAGTGTGGTATCAGTTTGCATTAAATTCGACTCCTTAACAACTTTGAATCAGAGGATCCAGCGATGTTCTGGGGGAAAATGTATGTAGGACAAAACATTACAGATTTTGGACGTTTGTAACGCACAGTACTGAATATAATAACATGTAACACAGCATCGAACACATTACACAGCAGTACATTCCTTCATTGTGTCATCATTCAATAAATATCAAACTATCTGTCGAACAGTTGATAAATGTTAAACAGTGCTGCTAATGAGGAAGGAGGAGCTGTTTAGTGTTAGCTTCGCTAGCATGCCAACAGCTCTGCCCACCACAGAACATGTTCAATTCTGACTAATGAAAGCAGTGACATAAGTTTGGATGATTTAAAAATAATAAATAAAATGAGAGAGTGAAGTTGAGCAACCGCTTAAGGGACAGAAAGGCGACATGAAACCTGTTCTGTGGTGTTTGGATCTGTAGCCTGATGTTAGCTTAGTGAGCAGACTAAAGACACTAACAGTGCCACCAATCGTAGTACAGGCTTGATTCTGAAAATTGGTTATCTGTTGACACAAACTTCGATGATAAAAATTTAAAAGCAAAAGTATTGTGACAGGAAACCAAAATTGAACCTGTTCTGTGGTGTTTGGTTTGGCTAGGCTTGGTTGTAGATAACTGATGCTAAAATGGCACCAGTGTAGAGCATAGCTCACTCGTTAAGAGGAGAGTGCTAAGTTGAATGAGTGGTGTTGGAGTGAAAGCTGAAATCGAATGTGTCCTGTGGTGTGTACAGAGAATGTGCGGTTCTGATGTGTGTAACTCTTTTCTGTGACTGAGGTGCTGTCATGCCTAGTTTTTCCTATTCCGAGTTTATTTCCTGGGTCTAATTTCCTCTCTTTGTCAGCACCACCTACCGGTGAGCTCCCACACCACCCCCAGTCAGCCCTGTAAATATATATGGGTAGAATGTGTTTATCCATTCGGACATGGAATAGAAAAATTTGACGTCATCATTTTTAATTATCATCATTTTGACCTACCGTGGTGTACCCAACCCTAAATCAAAGTTCTAAGGATGTGTAGCAAACTCCAGATGCTTACATTTGCAGTTTAGTGAGAGTACAGGCTCTTCTCTGACAAGCCTACAAATAGCTTGTTGCCATGGAGTTTGTGTCTTATAATTTTATTGGGTTTGGTGATCCCACGATGCAGTCAACTCCTACATTATGTATGATTCTTTGAGAACGTTTCTGTCTTTTAAAACCTTTTCCTCACTGTTGAGGCAAAATGCACATGCATCCATTTCCCAGCAGGTTTGCATTTCCAGCTTCTTTTTTTTTTTACTTTGTGCAAAAATTTGTGTTTTGGTATTTAGAGAATGCATTTTTTTACTATTTCTATTTATTTTAAAGAGCCATAGCCTGTTTTTCATTTCTCCTTTTTTGACCTTCATGCCTAAAAATTAAGGGCAATAATTCTAGAGGTCACTGATTTTTAAAAGCTGAACAGTTCAGCTTTCATTATCTTCTTTCTTTCATTCTATTCTGAGCGTGTATTGTTTATGTTCCCAGGAGCTGTTACTGTTGAAAACCCAGCTTTGTCTAAACCAGTTGTAATTTCCAGTCTGCCTCCTGTCAGCAATAATGTGAGCACTGTCCCCTTGCTCACCAGTACACGTGAGTTACTGTCCTCTCTTCTTGCCTGCTTTACTGTCATACCATTTAAGCCTTGATTATTTATTATTTCTCCCTTTTTCTTTTCCCAGTTCCTACAGCTGCCCCTGCTGGGATGTCTAAAGGTGCTCCTGGGCAGCAGCTGATTCTGACGCAGGGTGCAGGAGGGTTGACCCCTGTGGCTTTGTCCCAGGTTATCCTGCCTGGCTCAAGTGCTGCTACTAGCCAGCCCATCTACTTAACCACACAGGTGCAGTCCTGCTGTTTTTAACTGATGACATATTCAATAATCTGAGCGTTCATGAGCAGAATATAAAACCAGTGACTGGCTGCTGAACAGTGAATTGTAAATGGTTCGCATATCACCTGATTTTATTATGGTTTCTCATTTATTTTCGCTCTTGCAGGGAATCCCTGTGCAAAACATCCAGTCAGGTCAGAGCCCAATGAGCATTGTGTTGAACGTCCAGCAGGGCCAAGCTGTCCGACCCATTACTTTGGTCCAAGGTATGACTTTTTTATTATTAACAATTGTAAGGATAGTTGAATATTACTGAAAGTGAATGTACTGGATATATTTGAGTAATTGAATACAATAAGTTTAAGGCAGTATTCGTTGGTGTGAAATGAAGCTGGATGTACTTTGCATGACTTTTAAAATTCTGAAAGTCGTCACCCTTAAGGTCTTTTCCCGTAAGGGCACATGCACTAGACTATAAAGCAGAAGGACGTTATCAAACATAAGTTTTGACTATGAGAAACTCACTGTTATCACGTGATACAAACAAAACTGAACCAGCCTGGGCCTGTTTGGGCTTTTATGCATGCCCATGGAAGCATAGCTAAAACGCAAACTGTGTTTATTTGGTTGAGAAATGCAGAGTAAGAACTGAAAGAATAATTTACTACAGACTGGCAGCTGAAATTGTAAAGAGAGTCTTCGCAGTCTGCTGCACAAGAAGTGTGTATGCATGCGTCATCACCTTTATTTCTCTCTCTTAGCTCTCTTGTGAATGATTTTAGTCAAATATAATCAAACATGTTTGAGAATATTGGAAGGCCTCTGGTCGCTCCAGAGTTTGGAATGCTAAAGACAGACTTGTTTACCCTCTTACACCACCAGATTATTCGCATCATCATTAGTCACTGCTGACTGAGCTCCCGTCCTGGAAAATTACTTCAGGTTGTGAAAATGTGTCGTAAGGGGCCAATCGGGTTTAAAATCAGGCTAGTTGTGTAGTGTGGGCCCAGCTTGGTTACGCAGTTTTTATGTTAGCGGAGAAACATATTGTTCTACTTCTGTGTTAGAACGTGCACTTTGATTTTGGCTAGGGATGCATCAGTACGAATGCTGGTACCAGGTATCGGTCTGATGCTCGTGCTCATTTAATCATGCTCATAAAAATTCACCAATACCAACATTCGATACCAGCTGGTAGTGTGTAATGTAAGCAGAGTGTATGCTGCCACGCTAATGAGCAAACACAGTGAAAGAGGTTCTGCTCACATACAGAAGTGTTACTGACACCATGACAGTCGGACACAAAGCCGTCTGTCACTTTAAGCATTTCACCTTGGCAGATTCCCACCAGACCTACACTGCTGTTTTAAACACAAAATCACAGCAGCTTCCCCACCACGGGGGGCGACACGGCGAGTCACACGAAGACGGAAAAAGTAGCAGTTTGCTACCAAAGTCTGTCTTTGCCGACTTTATTCTGTTTAACTGAGTAGAAAAGCGAGGTATAAAGGTTAATGCGTTTTTTGTTTTGTTTTGTCTGCCTGCCTTTAGCTTCAGCGCACAGCATTAGCAGTGCTGCTCTGTTTCTCTGCAGACTGTTATTTTGAATGAAACAGCTTTATTTGACGTTGTTCATGTTCAACGTTTCGCATACCATAGACTGAGCATTTTTGTACAGTGTGAGTATATAAATTGTAGGCTTTGTCTATATGTGATGGACTGTTCAAACTTAATAATAATAATGCAGCATTGCTAACTAATGCACTTCATTTAAAATCTGTTAAATTGAATGATTTCACTGTTAAGGTTGCACTCATTTACACTAAGAACTACTTCATTTTAAGTAAATTACTCAGTATAGTATTGGACTCTTTATCAGCGAGTACTAAAAACTATGTGCTCATACTCATACTTGGTCTGACAAAAATGGTATCGATGCATCCCTAATTTTGACTCTTCACTTTTTCTGATACAGCACCTGGGACACCTGGGATTTTTAAACCAGCTGTTAGAACAGCACAAATAATTACCCAGCAAGCTCCGATGAGGCCTGCCACTCCGGTGGTAAACCGGGCACAGGCACCTGGTTCCTTCACTGCTGTACAGATCCCCGCCACCCTTACCATCCGAACCACAACGCCAGCCAGCCAGCCCAGAGCAAAGACTGTCCCCCCAGCACCAGGCCCTCAGCCTTCCACCTCACCAAGGGCCATCCCCATTAACACGCAGACTAAAATTGGTGAGAGAGCATTGAGATGAGCTGGATTCTGAATTTGTGAATTGTGACAGTTGAAAGTTGTTTGTTTGCAGGGACTGTATTAATTTTTAATGATAGAGTAAAAAAAATACCAAGCATTTCATCTTACTGAATTACCCTGTGCAGTGTTTTTTTTTTTTTTTTTTTATATGGTCTGTTGTTCTCCTATCCTTGACAGTGACAGTAAAGGCAGGTGAGGGCAACCTGGATGTACAGAACTTGATGAGCTTCATGAATTCTGTCAGTCTTCCTGCCATGGGTCAGCCTCAGACCTTTGTTGTCATGAGCAATCAGAAGACTAATGGTGCTGGCTCTGCTGCTGTTCAGACAGCTGTTCCTTCTGCTCATAACAGTATTGTACAAGGTACACTGTGGCTTAGTTAAGCTGTCTTTGTGCTACTGGGAGCTTGTTTTTTGTTGTTTTGAGTAGTTTTTGTTTTAATATAAGTGGAAAAGAGAAAAAACTTTGGACATGTCAGTGAAGAGAATCTGTGGTACTCATTATAGATCAATACTCTATCAATTTAGTTAATTGATAGAATAGCTTTATATGAATCTTGAAACAACCTAGATGTTTTCCAACAGCTCCTTCTTTTTTTTCTTTTTAGTTACTTCTGCAACACCATCGTCCCACACTTGCCCACGGTGTGGAGCCAAGTTCAAAATGATTGAAGCACTGCGAGGACATATGTGTGTAAGTACATGCGTAATCTTGCGACACAAGAAGTGTCTATAGCCAAGAAGATTGTGGAGAATAAGTTGTTTTTTCTTGTTCTTCAGTTTTGCTGTCCTGATATGCCTCGTACTACAAGCACCGATGCGCTTGCGGCAAAGCCTCAGATTATTCAGACCAAAAGCCTCTCCATGCCTGTAAAGACAGAAAGAATGGACCTCAGTCTGTCAGAGCCCCAGTCAAGGATTGTCATGTTGGTGGATGACTTCTACTATGGAACTTACGAGGGAAATCGAGTCTATGTGCCCTCGGACAACTTAAAAGAGCCTATATCGTTCAAATGCCTCACCTGTGGAAAGAAGCTGAAGAACAATATCAGGTCAAAATCCAAAATATTTTAAAGATAAGTAGTGCTAAGACTGCTGCATTAAACACATAACTTGATGACCATTTCTAGAGTGGGAATATACTTTTAATGCCCTATTGCTGTCTTTGCTTGTCTCTCATCTGAAGTTGGCTGATGCGTTGGATGTGTATGATTAATTGCAGCAACGTTTTTAATCTCCCGGCAGGCTCATGAACCACATGAAGTTCCATGTAGATGTGGAGCAGCAGACTGGTGAGGTGGCATCCCACACATCTTGCCCACACTGTTTCCGCCAGTTTCCAACTCCATTTCGCCTTCAGTGCCATGTGGAGAGTGTACACAATGCTCTTGAGTCAACTAGTAAGAAGGACCTTTTTCTTCTTCATCAATGTAGAGTTGGTTTACAGTGCTTGTAAACAAAATCTTTGAAAGTGTAATATAATACTAAATATTTAACTTTTCAATATTTCAGTAGTTTAAGCATTGCAATCACAGTTATTACATTCAGGACTAGTGTTAGAAGTGTGGTGAATTTAGATCTCTGATCTTTTCATTAACATTGCGATCAAGATTTTAAAAATGTGTTTTTTCCATATAATTTAAAATTTACTTTGAATCATTGTTTCATTACAGTGTAAATATTTTGTAAGATGTTTATCATCTGCTTATCGTGCAATATTTTAGCTGTTTGTATGTGGCTTAGCAGTGGTTATTTGTACTATGTGGGTTCTTGTTATATTGATGTTGTGCTTGGTGCACTTTTTGCAGCGAGGTGTAAAATTTGTGAGTGGGCCTTTGACAGTGAACCTGTTTTCCTGCAACACATGAAGAACACTCATAAACCTGGAGAGATGCCATATGTCTGCCAGGTGAGCTACGTCCTGTGAAACAATTATTTGAGAAAAAATTGCTTTCCTTTATCATATAAGTGTATTTGTCTGCAAGTTAATCATGATTGTGTTTTGTTGCCAATGTAACATTTTTCAGGTGTGTCAGTATCGATCCTCATTCTACTCTGATGTGCATAATCACTTTCGCACATGGCACGAGGATACCCGCTACCTGCTCTGCATTTACTGTTTGAAGGTTTTTAAACACTCCAGTACCTACCAGCAGCACTTCTCTCGCCATCAGGTACAGCAACGCGCACAACATTTGTGGTTAAATCGAAATTTCCAAAGTTCTGGTCCTCTAGAATGTTTGTATATCATCATAGTCCAAAAACAGATCTACGTAATTTGAACAAAGCAGTAATTTTTTTTTTTACATTGTTTGAACATTTCATGATGAATGGACCAATAGAAATACTGCAAAAGTACTTTGACAGAATTACGTTACCTTATGTTAAAAGTTCTGAATGTTTTTGTCTTCTTCTGTAAAGTTACCAGTTTGGAGAGGTTTGTTTATTTAATTGTTTGTTTGTGTATGAGCTTATACACAGTCATGTCTTACAAAAGCCACCATAAAACAGCATTTGGTAATTGCTTTTACTTGCAGAATACCACCGTTTACAACTGTAACAAATGCCGCCTGCAGTTTCTCTTCACAAAGGAGAAGGTTGAGCATAAAGTCAATCACCACAAAACTTTCCGCAAGCCAAGTCAACTGGAAGGGCTCCAGGCTGGGACTAAGGTAAGCCTTCAGTAGCCTTATTCATCAGCCAAATATGTGAAGTGTCAGCACCACAGAAACATCAACATGTATTCTCAAAGCAACGTTTTTTTTCCATGTAACCATTATTGTTGTACTGTCTGTGTTGCTAGTTGTATTTAATTGTTTTTTTTCTGTGGGTCGATCACTCTTAACTATCCCTTTTGACTGTCTAGGTGACCATTAGGGCGTATGCAGCGCAAAAGAAAATGGCAGGCCAGATGTCTTCCAAACCAAGTAGAGAGCCCACTAACACAGAGAGGGACATAAGGACAGCTCAGTTTGGCCAGACTTCCTCAGCACACACACTCAACACTAAACTGCTTGCACCACAAAGTACTACGGCTGGGAAGAAACAAGTCAGCAAGATGTATGACTATCTGGTCAAGTTCCAGGAGCACAGGTAAGTTTATTTCTTGTTCTTGACAACTAGTGAGGAACATAATGTGTGACCAACAGCTTGTGTGATAAAGTGAAGCGATTGTCCACTAGAAGGAGCTGTGGTGTCAAGGAACAAAGCAGCCTCAGTCTTTTAAAATCTTTTAACTACAGTTTCTATTGTCCTGAAGTTGGTAATATTTTGGGCACTAACAGCACACACCTAGATGATCATTTTTGCATAATAATGTAAAATGATACTCGGAATGTGGAAAAATTACAATTGACTGAAAGCCTAGAATGGACGCCTGTATTGTTCTCCCAAATTATTGGACTTTTTGGACCTGTTTTTTCTAAGTGTTTGTTACCTTTACCAGAACCATATCTGTACACTAATTGTATTTACATACATTTGAGATCTCCCTCTCATAAAGTTAAATACAAAGACTGAGATTGCTTTCTCTTTCTGACAAGTCCAGTACCACAAGCTAATGCAAGTAAATGTTCAGATCAGAATTCATGTGCTTTTTTTCCACTGCACGTACGCCATCATTCAACGTTGCCATGGCAGCAGAGCCAAAAGGACGTTAAAGCCTGTTAACAGTGGAAAAGAAACACATTTCACCTTTGTTGCCTTCGTCTCGCTCTAATAATGAACAGCTAAGAGCTGATCAGAGTTAATTATCTTTGCAGCGAAGGCTCGTTCTGACCGTTAATCTGTTTGCTGATGATGCACGTGACTCACGCGTTTCATTCACGTGACGTTACTGAGTAGGATGTGCGCATGCAGGTCACATTAATGCCAGATTTGAATCACTTACCTAAACGAGTGTGAACCATCCTGTCAGAGAGATTTGAGCAAAAAATTGGATTTGAGCAATGAGGCATGTAATGTGAACGTAGCTTAACCCACCTCTCTTCTTTTTCCAAGGCAAGACAAGAGTAGCATCGTGTGTGGATACAAGAGAGATTGAGTGTAGCGTCAGACAGTGTGATCTCTAGGTTTGTCCTGTGTGTGTGTGTGTGTGAGAGAAGGGCTTTTTTCGGGAGGGTTGTGAGTTGTGAGTAAAAGGCAACTTTTTCGTTTAACGGACAAAGAAAGGATGGAATCATGACGCAGTCAGTAACTGGAAAAACATAGATGCACAGTAAATAGGACACATTTTTCTACTTTTTGAAAAGAAATAGGTATAAAAAGGCAGACCTTTGGAGGGGAGGGTGAACTGTTTTGACCCTTGAAACTGTTTTGAATTTCCTGATGGGCAAGTTTAAGGCAACAAAAATGTTCTTTTCTTTAGAGCACTGCTGGGGAGACAGAAATGTGTGGAGTGTACCTTTGACATCCCAGACTTTGCCAATCATTACCCTACGTATGTCCACTGCTCGCTGTGTGCATATAGCACATGCTGCTCCCGCGCTTATGCTAACCACATGATCAAGTGAGTCAAGTCTTGTTGTACGTTTCACGTGCCTAGCAGAACTATCACAACATTCATGAAGAACTAGAGATTTCAGCAGTCATTACCTGGAACAATACTTACTATGTGTAATTTTTTTTTTTCAGCAATCATGTTCCAGGCAGAACCCAGAGAGGTCGCTCTAAGAAAGGGTCTCTCAGGTAATGCTTTTATTTGCAGTCTTTGTGCATTCTTCATTGCTTTAATAGATGCGTAATATAAACTGTGGGCGCTGCTATTTACTGTTTAGAACTGATTTTCTTTTGCAGTTGGCTAAACCTGACGTGTGCATGTTGTAACTACAAGACAAATCAGGGAGACCTGATGGCCAAGCACCTGGTCCAATACCCTGATCATTATTACTGTGTCTTCTTCATGAAAGGTGAGTGTGCTTTCAAGTGTTACCATCAACAAGCATAAATATGTAGAGCAGTTCATAAGTAATTGGACAGCTACAGTTTTGGGTGTTTTGACAACTAGTTCAGCACATTTGAAAGGATTGAAAATGCAGAATGTCAATTTAAGTTTATATTGAGTGAAATAAATAGGAATCTCAGCCCTTTTCTTTCCCATTTCAGAGGAACGTAAGTAATTGGACATTGCATTGCTTTGTTTAGTAACTTACCTTACGGTTAATGGCTGCTTGAGCTCTGCAACCCATAAACATGACCAAATGCTGGGTATCTTCCCTGGACCTGCCCTGCCAGGTCTGAATGCAGCCAATTTCTGTTCCTGCTTGTCTATCTTTCTAATTTTTTTTTGGCCCTGTTGTAGTAATAGTAGCAATAGTAGTAGTGGTAGAGTGTTTCTGGTCATTGTTTTGCTATATGTGTGCAGCATTTTGTACTGTTTTAGTTCAGAGCTCATCCTATTGATATCAGCAATTACCCCTTAGACAAAAGGTTTATGGACACATAAGAACAAGTTCAAGACTGATGGAATATCAGTCTTGAACTTGTTCTTATGTGTCCATAAACCTTTTGTCTAAGAATTATACAGCCTTCCTTATGTACTGTTTTGCAAACTGTTACCTGACCTTTCTGTTCTTTGGGTTCTGGTTTGTATGTAGTTATAAACCCTCTGTGGTTATGCCGGTGTTTTTTGAAGGTAGTCATCAGCACATCTATTCCTACACCCAACAGATTTTAACTGTTTCATCATGATTGAATGAATGCTTTGGTCATTCTGTGTGTGTTTTTAAAAAGGGCTGTGATTCCTATATCTAACCAAGATAAGTATATCTTTGAGAGAAAGTTCATATTCTGCACTGTAACTCTAAAATACCAAATACGGTGAGTCTGGAGGGTCCAGGACTCCTCAGTGAACATTTTAGGCCTCTGAAGCAGCAACAGCTTTGGGATAGACACTTGTATACTGTCATAAAAAAAGGTACTGTGCAGGTACATTTTTCATTCATCAAGGTACAGATAATGTGAATGTACCCTCCGAGGTACAACAGTGGTTTTAAGGTACAACCCTAAATAAGTTTGTTTTTTTGTTTTTTTTCCCCTCTTTTTTTCCTCTTTTTTTTTCTCTTTTCTCAAGGGAAAGGAACGTCTACCTTTTTCTAATCTAATGCTTTAAAGCAGAACAAAAAAAATAAAAAGTTAAGAAAGGGTGTGTAAAGTCAATACAACTTAAACAATATATATATACAATTTGCAATGGAATCCGGTACAATTATGTTTCCTAACTAAAGGTACTGAAGACATACCCTTAAGGGTACCACACTGCGGCAGTGCAGTATAGGGATGAAGTAGAAATAGAAGTATTTTTCTAGTGTTTGTTTGTTTGTTTGTTTGTTTGTTTGTTTTGTTTAGTACTCGCTGATTTGTGTCTGACACCACTACTCAAAATTAAGTACTTGTTACTTTAAATGAGTGCAGTGTACCTTAACAGTTAAATAACTAAAATCTAGCTGATTTAAATGACATGCGTTAGCTAGCTATGTTACATTACTTTGGCTCAAGGAGCGCTGCAGTGGAGAGAAGCGGGTTTTGTTCCACAGAAAAGCGCTTCTGTGCAGCTGTAAGTAAAGTAAGTTTCATAGTTTTATCATAATCTCTCTTTCAGCAAGTCTGTGTAGCACAGTGACAGCAGGAAACACTTCTGATGCTAATGCATCCGAAGACCTCACGTTTTGTGTTGAAGTCTTTTTGGCTGGTTGAGCTGTAGTTGAATGTCCTCTAAGGGCAGACATACACTGCGGTTTTAGAAATGTTGTTCTTTGGTGACTCACACTGTATGTTTGAATAGACCTTTGTGTATAGACAAAGCATGCAAATTATACATGCTGTGTGAAACGCAGCCCTGTAAGCTCGATCTGTGAACAATTTCAAATAAATGTGTTTCATTCAAAAGAACAGTGTTATTTTGAATGAGCTACAGCAGTGCTGCTAACTACTAAAACCGTGATGTATACGGCAGCGCAATACTGTCAGTTTAAAAAATCGACATATTAACATTCATACCTCACTATTCCATTCAGTCAAACAGAGTAAAGTTGGCATAGACAAACTTTGGTAGCAAATATCGACTTTTCATGAGGTCATGTTCGAGGCATCAGGCCAACACCAGTATCTGTATCAATGCATCCCTAGTTCAGTACCTTTTTTCTGATAGTAAATACAAATTCAGAAAAAGTTTATTTTGAAAAGGTCAAGCTTTCAAATTAGCCTGCTTCTTTTTCCCATGCAGTGTGGTTAATAGCCATTTTTACAATTTAAGGTGCATACAATATACTAAACAATTCAAATGTTCCAAACTGCCAAACTGTTTTGCCAAACTGGAGCACTAACAGGTCCCCCATGGGGTACTTTGAACACTAACTTTAACCTCATGCTTTATTTCAAATGTGCTAAAATACAAAATAACACCAAAACAATTCATAGTCCAATTACTTACAGACTGCAGTATATGTGGTCTAATTATGCATTGGGTTTTCCAGTGTATTCAGCATGTATACTAAAGCGTTATTATTTTTCTGGTGAAACTTCAGTATTTAGCTGGTTGCAGTATTTGTCCGTATCACTGTTAAGCTGTTGTGCAGAGACTGCAAGAGTGTAACAGTTCAGAAAAACGTTTGATTCAATTTGCTTTTTACTTTTAAAGTCACAATTCAGTGCAAGTTTAGATTGTGGGGTTTTTTTTGTTTGTTTTAAATATATACACTTTCTAAAAGACAAACTTTATCAAAATACTGACCTATCATATGCTGCTCCAATTAAATAATAATTGATATTACATACATTAGGAAAGGTTTTATTATTGGACAAAATACATCATTGTAGATTTAGCAACAATAGCTATGTACGGCACAAGATCAATCCCAGCATCTTGCTCTTATAACTGTAGGGAAACAATGGTACTGCATAGCTCCCAATGGGTCACACAGATTGGTGATTTTCCTGCAACACACTTGCTAGAACCTAGTAATTAGCTGATGAGTTGAATCAGGTGTGTTGATTCAAATGACCAACCTGTGCTGGACACTGGCCCTTTAGGATCAGAGTTTCCCACCCAAAATAAAATCAAGGCGCTACAACCTTCTATAGATGGCCCTGTGTTTGGCGAAGGGAGAAAGTGTGAAGTAAGAGAATCCTGGCCCCATTTCTTCTTTTGAATAGCAAAATCAGAAGTTTTAAACTTATAGTAGTAATTATGCAGAAACGGTTGAGGAGCATGGCTTTTTGTTTTGTGTTCTAATAATATTTCTTGCTTTCTTCCATTAATATTACAACATGGTCTTGTGTGTAAAAGCAAAAGAAAAAAAACGGTTTAGATATGTTGTAGAATTTAAGCATTTCTCTATCAGCCACTTCATACAACCATATGTGGCACTGTCTACAATAAAATTAGTTTACAGGATTTGAGCTTAAGCTGTTTATAAGAAGTGTGTTACCTGGTGTTATTTCACAGTAATTCCTGTGACTTCACAGCAAGTTTGTCAGAGCTCTGTGGGGGGTGGGTGGGAAATCTGTGATTACACAATTCCCTAGGTACAGCACGTGAACGGAGACAGCCAGAAGGAGTTCTAAAACACCTTAAAAGGAGTGTTTAAAAAAAAGATTTACAAAAGGATTGTATGCCAAGGAATTACCTTCTGCTTCTGAACTACTTATTCTTTCAAAAAGTTAACAGGCATGGGAACCACTTCAGCATTGAGTGTAGGATAGTTAAGTGGAATGGTAGTAGTCATAAGGCTCCGAAAAAGAAGACTAACTGTGTGTTCCTATGATCCCTCCCCTCCCCTACAGAGTGTCTGGAGACTGATATTGAGTTCTGCCAGGTTGAGGAGGAGGAGGAGGAGGAGGAGGAGGAGGAGGAGCAGGTGGAGGTGGAGGAGCTACAAGAGGAAGGAGCTAGTGATGATACAAAGCCTGACTGGCTGTCCATGGAGAACTGGAGGGTTCCAGGTGATCCAGGTGATGGAGGATCTGTGCCAGAATTCACAGACATCTGTGGACCACAGCATTTCATGGGCAAAAGCAGTGATGTCCTTGAGTATTTCCAGCTACTCTTCCCAGACACTCTCATAGACCAAATAGTTTATGAGACCAATACCTATGCCAAGTGTCAGCGCTCTCTTGGCAGAGGGGACCCCACTTGGAACCCTCTCAGCAATGAAGAAGTCAAAGGCTTCATAGGCCTCTGTATCCTGATGGGGGTCCAATGTCTTCCTGAGCTAGAGATGTACTGGTCCTGGAAGCATTACCATAGCTGCACCACCTTCTATAGGACCATGTCCATCACACGCTTCAAGCAGATCAGAGCTCATATTCGAATGAGCAGCATGCTTGCAGAGGAAGATAACCGCCCTGTGGACAAGATGTCTTTCTTCCAGTCCATGTTGAAAATCCTAGAGACAAGCATGCAGGAAGCATATAAGCCAAACAAATGTTTGACTGTTGATCAGGCTTTGCTGCCAGCCCAGGACAAAGGAGCTGACCGGGAGAAGTGTACAAACTCTTTGCCACGAATATGGCTCTTGTGTGACTCAAAATCTGGATACTGTCATAAATTGCTTATCCTGACACAACAGGAAAAGCACACAGACTTGGGGAGCTCAGTTGTGCCTTATCTTGTGGAGGGTCTTGAAGGAAAAAATCATCAGATTTTCATATCCAACAAGCTAACAAGTGTTCCCCTGATGACAAAGTTGCACAAAAAGAGCATATACTGCTCTAGCTCCATCCCCACCCATAGTCCAATCCTCCCTGTAGAGTTCTGGAGTCAGCCTGCATTGGAGAGCCCTGGGGCCTTCATTCAATTTGAGCACCCCCCAGTGCTGTTTACCAGATGGAAAGATGCAAAAGAGATGGTCTGCCTTTCCACGAATGCTGCAGCAGGTCAGCCTGACACAGTGTGGAGGAAGTCCACCAGTAAGGCAGGTGAGCTGTCCACCATCTCAAGACCACTGGCCTTTAAGCTGCTTCAGGATAACATGCGTGGCGTGGACATCTGCAATCAACTGCTGGCTTGCAACCAGCTTGGTGGACTGTTCCTGGACACAAATTGGCGGCGCCTGTTCTGGTTTCTTGTCAACTTAAGCATCATTAACTCCTTCATTATACTGCGAGAGACCCGAAAAGGCAACCCACCCGGATGGCTTCAGGGGGGCCACTTTTCTCAAGCCGACTACCGCAAACGCCTAGGATACCAGCTGGCCAAGTGTGCTGAAAGAGAAGCTCTCCTGAAGAAAATTGCCAATGACCGAATGCAGCAGCGAAGATATGAGGGTAGGAGTGAAGTTTCTGAGACTTTTGAGGGGGTCAGACATCGTTTAGCCAAAATTACATTTAAGACCAGAAGATGTAAAAGTTGCAACCTAAAGAATCAGCGTCATGAGAGTGTCTATGGCTGCACTGCATGCCATGTCAACCTGTGCAAGGGTACCCGCTGCTTCTGGGACTACCATGGTTTCTCTGCAAAGTTCAAAGGTTATGAGACCTATACACACTGAGTATTTGTGTGTGTGTGTGTGTGTGTGTGTGTGTGTGTGTGTGTGTGTGTGAGAGAGAGAGAGCGAGAGAGAGAGATAAAAAGGTTAAAAGAACTTAAATTTTCTAAATGTTCCTACTTCATAATTCAATACTGATGAGTGTTCTCTTAGTGATTTCTTTTTTGTCTTTACAGGTAACCCAAAAATTGGATTTGTGGAGCCTAAGAGGTATATCTTTATGTTGTCTGTGTGGATGAAATGTATCTGGTTTCTCAATTTGAATATGCATGTGCTATGATACACTATCTACAAAATATTTAATACAACCCTATATATAGAAACTTTAATCACTTCAGAATAGTGTTGAAAGATCACATTTCACATACTATTTAGAAGTTGTAGACAACATAAAATAATATATATTAATAATAATATAAAGCTATTTATCCTGACGATAAGCATTTATTTTGAAAAACACCAGCATTAGAATAACTCCACATACCCCTAAATAAAATACATTAAATTGTGATTTATGACTGTCAGGGTGTTAACCACGCCATGCAAAGTAATAGTACAAAGTATACCAAATTATCTGTTATACACAACACTATACACACTAATACCAGTGCATCTGGTATACTGATTAAAATTGGTACTCAGGTTTGAATTCTGACTGTTACACCTCTGTGCTACACCCAGATATCATGATGTACAAATGGTGAAAGATATGCAAAAGTTAACCTGTTTAGCTGAGTGGCTGAGTCAGGGATGTTTGTCATGTTTTGAATGTAATGAAAACATAGCAGACCTTCGATCACCTCTTGTTGTCTAGTCTGCTGCATTTAAAATAGTTCACATTGTTTTCAAGGCAGTGGACATTAAGGAATTGACAGCCTTTTTGGGTCATACCTGTACCATAGGCTGTCACCATGTCTGGTTGTCTGGTAGGATAAATTGGAGATGGGCATTAACAAGTCCTTATCTCATGTCACAGCATCTTTCTCAAGGAACATGTCACAGGTCTTACGGAGACACAAAGGCCAAAGAACTAGGTGTAAAAAAAAAAAAAATTCTTATTAAAAAGATTTAAATTCGACTATGAGAGCTAATCTACATCCCTTCAGAGGGTACGACGCTCAAGAACTGCTCCTCTACAGGTTTGACATGACATCCCACTCTATACGCAGTACAGCAAAACTACAGAAACAGAAAGGAACGTCTCTGCTAGCACTGTAACAGCATCTGTAGTAACATCTGTAGCCTCAGTTTTTGAAGTGCGGAAAAAACACAGATGGCAACCAAAGTGCAAGTATGACTAGAAAATTGATAAAATTCAGTTGGATTTTGTGGCACGTCTGTAGCCTATGTACTGTAATAACTGTCAAAGTTTATGTAAACTGTTTTAATGTCTGCTCAGTTTTGTCTTACTAAAATAGGATTTTATCAATAAGTATTTTTTTTTTACCTTGTAGTATTTATGTTTATTATGTTTATTCAAAAGCTTAAACAAAACAGAAAATGGAAAAAAAAAAAGGTTTTCAGCCAGGTACATCTTGAATTTCTGTTTTAGTTTCGGCCTGGAATTTTCTTTTTCGTGCCACTACCAACGACCATAAACGCACAGGAGAGGCTACATGATGCTCAGTTGGGAGACATTATTAGATGGCAGAACTAGCTTTACTTGTGTGCTTTTACTGTTCATGGTAGGCTTTATGGTAGAGTCAGCTACATTAGCTCTTTGACAGCTGAACATACAAGTCACCACTTCTGCCAACCTTGCAGTTATCTACATTTTTTACTGCAATTATTGTGCAGTGCTATGCTCTAATGAATATATAGTTAAAATATGTGTATAAGGAACAGGGCCTCAAGGAACATGAGTAAACCGTATTCATAGCTCACTTGTAAAATTTCCTCATGTGTAGTATTTTGTCTTCTTTTAGAGAAAGTACTCAGCCTGCCCTGGACTCCAAAAACGTTCCACGCAGCTCTTCAGTAGATGAATCAGCTACATCGCTGGAGGTCTCCTCTGTGCAGGATGAAGACCTTGATCAAGAATTGGCGCCCCTGGAGGAGTCAGATTCAGACTTTGAGACAGACGACAGTAGTCAGCAAGAGCCCCTTACGATGGAAGATGAACAAACAGCCAGTGAGACCACAGCAAAACCGGGTTCTCCAAAGACCAACAAAGAAAGAGAGGAGACGCTGTCTGTTAGACAGCTCCGAATACTGCTGTTTGCTTTGTGCTCTGGGGTCGAGAAAGCTGCCAAAGACATGGACACAAAAGCTCAGCTCATTAGAGCCTGGCTTCGAGACAAAGAGAAAAGACTGGACCGTGAAGGTAGGAGTGGAGAGGCTGTAGAGCGCTTGGTGGAGTGGGTGTTAGTCCAACGAGAGCAGCAGCGTATTATCAATGAGAAGAACCTCTTTCAAAAAGCTTCGGAGGTCCACAGTCAAACTAATCAGAGCAGTTCCTTCCGTATTTCATATGAGTGGGCAGTGAGCTTTATGCTGCAGCATAAGCTAGGTCTGCAAAGTGTGGCCTTGCCCAGTTACCAGCTTCCACGTGGCCTGGAGGAAAACTGCCACCATTTTACTGGGTTTGTACAGAGACAGATTCAAATGCACAGTGTTCCTCGTTCTGCTGTTGGTGCTATGGATGAGCTGTCTATTTTCGTTGACTTTGATACACTTGTTGATGGCTCCATCACTTCCAAGGAGGCAGCCTTCCAGTTAGAGGGTACTGGGAAACCTTGGGTGAATATTTACCTTTCTTTGCTGGCAGATGGCACAATGCTGCCAACAGTGCTGTTTTTCAAAGGCACCCCTTTTGGCAGTTTCAGCAAAAGGCTACCAGACTCACTGCTTCTTGAGGCAAGAGTTGAAGGTTTTTCAGAGAACGAGGAGCTTGACATCTGGAATGCTCGTGTGTGGCAGCAGCATTTAAATTCCCAAAAAGGGAGTAAGACCATTCTAGTTATGGATGGCCATCATAGCCACATGTCTGAAGGCTTCGTGTCCACCATGAGTGGCACAAAAACCTTACCTGTCATTATTCCATCAGGTTGCACTAGCAAGCTGCAGCCTTTGGAGATTTGTGTGCGTCCTGTGCTGAAGAAGTTCTTGTTGGCTCGTTGGTTGCAATTAGTAACCCAAGGTTGTGTAGCAGAGGTCACACCTGAAGAACTGGTGCGGCTTCTTGTGACCTGGCTAGAGGAGTTCTTGGTTTGTTGTTCCAGCAAGCCTGAACTAACTCAGTACTCTTTTTGCATTTCCTGTGTGATTGCAGAGCATGAGGAATATAAAAAGGAAGCTAATACTCAGGTGGAGCTGATAAATACATTGACAGAAGCCATGCTTGGACCAGAGGCAGTAGATTCCGAGCCATTATCAGAGGAAGAGTCTGTGGAGACACTTGCTGAAGGTGCAGTGGAGCCAAATAAAAAGGTAATCGGTGAAGAATCGCCTGGGACTGCAAAGGAGGATGTTCAACAGACAGGGACAAAAACAGAGGGTCAAACAAGAGATGAAGGCAGAGCAGAGACTGAGATCAGTGAGAATGAACAGCAAGCACAGAAAATGGTAAATAAAGGTTTGGACGCATCAAGTGCGACTTCAGGGACTTGCTCTCCCCTTCTTCCACATGTCCTTCCACAGTCACCAACCTCAACCCAGGTTTCTGAGAAAGAGGACCTTTTAGAACCCAGTGAAGCCTGTCAAGACTCTGATATAACTCAAACAGATGCAGGATCCAGTAGCTAATCTGCTATGTGAAGGCTCAAGATGATGTTACTATAAACTGTAATTCAAAAGAAAGGGTAGAGACTGAGTGTATAGATGTAAAATGCTCTAAATCTTTGTGCACAGTAAGCCCGCTTGCTTGTTTAATGAATTATGTTTTCATGGGACTAAATGAAATCTTGAAACTTGGAAGTTTGATAAAATGTAGCTTTTCATTTCTCTGCAAAAGCTACATCAGCTCAACTGATAGCAGGACGTGATCATGACTTTTTTACTATTTGTACTACCTTTCAACAAAACCTCACTCTCACATTGTAACTATTTTAATTAATGTCTATGGACTGAGATCTCTGGTACATAAATGTTAATTTTCTTTACCTGTCTTTTGTCTCAGTGTTACTGAAGTGATGTTAATAACAGTTGAACTTGGATGTGTCTTGAATTTGTACATTCAAAAAATTTGGCCTGATTTGAACAGCAGGCAAATCGGATTTGTTCCTCAAATCGGATCTTTTGAGAGGACTGTCCGCGCTGTTATTTGCAAGTGATCAGATTGGATTTGTGTCCAGACATCACCAGTCTATCTGAATGGGTTGCTGTGGTAACAACGTAGGTGTCGGTAATTATGTAGCTTTGCTGGTGACACAGATTTCAAACATGGATTAGGAGAGACGGAGGTGCGTCATCTCCCCCTTCAATCTCTTCAGAATTCTCTGATATAAGCATGAATCTTTGATGCTCTTCTTGAATTCCAACACTTCCGTCACTCTGGATTTGACATTTTTGTTGTTTGTCGCATTGCAAGTGACGCAAAACACACTTTGAAATTTGATTTTAGCAGCCAGGGTGTCGAGACATGAGAGGCATCTGTAAAAATCCGATTGGAACTGCATTTCAGACCAGCTCCAAATGCGGTTTGGATACCGCTTGCAAAAATCAGATTTTGTGGGGGGGGTTTTTGCTGTTCAGACTATCAAAAATCAATCTGGATATGATCTGGATATCCAGAAAATCACACTTGGGCTGACAGTCTGAACATACACCTAATCCAGTTAACTGGGAATTTACTTCCTGATTAGCTCTTCCTGAGTTGAAATGAGTGTGGGGGAGCACTAAAATGTGTTCCAGGGGTTGGGATCCACTTACCCTAGAGTTTAAACTTTGTCAAAGCCCAATGGGATCCAGCAGTTTCTGTCCTGTTTGTTCAAAACTGACCAATGTTTTGCAGATATTTATTGAGCTCAGGTCAGGCTAAAGTTTCACATTTAAGTTTCCCCAAAACCTGTCATCCTTAATGGGTTTGGGCCTGCATTTAGATTTCCCTTTATTCATCCTTCCTGCCTTCTGTTGACGTCTTTAACACTGAGTCAACTTGAAATCTGATGCATTTGGAGAAATCACAGCATTGCACACGTGCAGTGCTCATTTGTTTAAAGATAAATCATGTATGGGTGTAGTACTTTTTGCATTTAATAGACCACTTTGACACAGTATGGTGCAACGCAGGCCAAAGGCCAAATTTTGCTCACTGAATTCACAACTTTTATTGGCATGCAGGTTAACTTTACTGCAAACTGGATTTGGTCTTTTATAGGCTGCACCGAGTACTCCAATAAAATAAATAGCCCAATCCAGGAAGAAGTGAGCTTGCAGGTAAGCTTTAAGAGTGATCAAACCTGATCCTGGACATCCAACTTCTTGTGGACTGTAGTTCAAACCTCAATCTGCCACACTGGAGCCAGCTAATTAACCCTTTTGGCTGGATGAGATCCATGGAAGTAAGCATGGGGTAGATGTAGGTTTCAACTAAACTGCAGGAGAGTAGATAACCGGTAGTAGAGTTAGTGACCATTTTTACTTGACCCTGACCCTGAGGCAGCTGCTTATTCGAATTTTCCGTTCCACCTCAATTGGTGCAGCAGTTGCATTCTGGCGCCTTCATCCACGCCTGAATGTAAATATGCCAGTTAAGGGGGAACGTAAAATTCAGATAATAAACCAACTTTAGCCTCATTGCAGTGGTAAAAGTTTATCAATGTGTCCAGCCTGCTTTAGCCTCAGTCATGCTTACGTAAGAGTGGAGTATTTCCCCACAGCAGCCCCTGCCGTCGCCTCCATTCACTCTCCACGTCTGCCTGGGAAAGGCGGTCATTTCAACGTCTGTCAGCTGAACTGCGATTGAACAAAATGGGTACGTATAGGTAAAATTGACTTCTTGCATGGTATTTATTGTTTGTGAAGTTGGCAGCAAACAAACAAACAAACACAGACAACGTTGTCGAAAGGTGGTGACGTTTACGTTGTCTGAACAAGGTAGTCACAGCCTCATTGTTCAGTAACGATGCCGCGCGGTGCTGTGACTACCTGTTGGCGCCGCAGCAAAATTCCATGGAGTTCCATAATGGAACTTAGGAGGATTCTAGAAGGTTTTGACAACGTTCTGACAACGTTGCCTCAACTTTCTGAAGGAGTCACTTCTCAACGTTGTGGGCACCAAAACAATAGGCTGTCACAACGTAACTGTTTGCTGGGTAGTGTTGGCGAGATTTTAGAGGGTTTGTGTAAACAAAGCTGTACTGTTTTGCACCCTTGAATGCCGAGGATCATTGCATTCATCTTGTAGATCTGTAGGCTGCTCAGAACCCCCCTTTCACTTCGCACAACATTAAAATGTAGCCATTCGCCTTACAGGGCCTGTTGGACTTTCGGTCAGTCACCGAAATAAACTTGGCTTGGTTAGCAATTTAGAGTTCCATCAACTACTCGGTAAAGCAGTAACGGACATCTGCTAACACTGGCGCTTTCTGTTAGTCCTGATTTGCGAATTCAGATTACGTCATTTCCACACCGAAATCCGCCAGTGTTACACACCAGGGTTTTATTTTGTAAAACGCATAACTTAAAAAGCTCAGATTAATGAAACCAGATTCAAACTGAGCAGGCTGACTTGTGAAAATGGTCACAGTTCTTGTTTTGTCCGTCCGTGTGTAGACAGCGAGCAAGGAAAGTGAAAGAAAGTGGAAAAATAAGCGTTTTTTTTTACTTTGTCGGGTGATTTTTCAATACAAATTATGTCAGAATCTATGAAAATGTGTTTGATTTAGCAGAGCTCGATTCGTGAAAAAAATTCACAGAGAGCTCAGTGTGTTTGCTCCATGCGGGAGTCTCCTCAGGAGTGAGACTACCTGACTTTGGAGTTTAATTTCACATGCGAACATTATCAATAACCTTGCAAATTCACTTGCTGTCCATATTCGTTGATTTGTGAAGACATTCACAAACAGATAAGTTATTTATACAGTTCTACTCGGCTTTTCAAGTGTAATAGTTCAGCTTTTGGGGCAAATATAGAGCATTAACGCGTAGACTTAATAACTCCTCATGTATGGAGATAACAGCAGACACAAAATACTTCACAACTTCACGACTCTGACATGCTATTTACACTAACACATTTCACTTGTTTTAGGCATTATCTGATTTGTGAAAACTTTCACAAACGCAGTTTAGTATATTTGTGTGATTTATACAGTTCTCCTTACATTTTTATGGCTGATTAATGCAGAAGAACACCAGATAGCTAAAGGTACTGCTAGGAAGGTGACTGTATTTAGCCTCAACAAGCAGTCAGGGTTTCTAAACAATAATGGGGGATTTTAAACGGTTGTATGTTTAAGTGTTGCATGCTGGGTTTTGTACCACGGTAAAGTTAGTTTTATTTTCGATATTCGTCTTTTCAAAATCTATGAAAACTAATACAATTTGTGACACCATTATTTCCAAAATCCAAAGACTGTGCATCGTTGATACAGTAGTTACAGTAAAATATTCAACATCTAAAGGCTGTGCATCATTGCTGACACCTCACTGCACCATACACAGCTGTTTTTAGTGGTGTATGTAATGTGAAATATTATTAATTCAAAATACATAAAAATTAATAAAAAGTAGTTACAGCAATATTTCCAAAATCCAAAGGCTGTGCTTCATTGCTGACTCCTTGCTGCACCACATACAGTCGTTTGTAATGTTGCATATAATGCAGCTTAAATATTATTGAAATTCAAAAATACATAAAAAATAATAAAAAGCAGTTACAGTAATATATCCAACATCTAAAGGCTGTGCATCATTGCTGACACCTCACTGCACCATACACAGCTGTTTTTTGTGATGTATGTAATGTGACTGAAATATTATTGAAATTCAAAATACATAAAAATGAATACAAATTAGTTACGTGATTATATCCAAAATCCAAAATATCTCAAAATACATAAAATTAATAAAAAGTAGTTACAGCAATATATCAAACATCCAGTGGCTGTGCATCATTGCTGACTCCTTGCTGCACCATATACTGACTAAGGTATTAGCAATAATGCACAGCCTTTGGATTTTGGATATATTGCTGTAACTACTTTTATTAATTTTTTATGTATTTTGAATTTCAATAATAGTTCAGCAGCATTGTACACAGCACTAAACACAGCTGTGTATGGTGCAACATTGTGTCAGCAATGATGCACAGCCTTTGGATTTTGGATGTAATCACATTACTACTTTTTATAAATTTTTATGTATTTTAAATTTCAGTAATATTTCAGTCACATTACATACATCACTAAAAACAGCTGTGTATGGTGCAGTGAGGTGTCAGCCTTTAGATGTTGGATATATTACTGTAACTGTTTTTATTCATTTTTATGTATTTTGAAATTCAATAATATTTAAGATGCATTATATACATCACTAAAAACAGCTGTGTATGGTGCAGGAAGGTGTCTGCAATGATGCACAGCCTTTGGAATATGGATATATTGCTGTAACTACTTTTTATTAATTTTTTTGTATTTTGAATTTCAAAAATATTTAAGCTGTATTATATACATTACTGAAAACAGCTGTGTGTGGTGCAGCAAGGTGTCAGCAATGATGCACAACCTTTGGATTTTGGACAATTTGCTGTAACTATTTTTTATTAACTTTTATGTATTTTGAATTTCAATAATATTTCAGTCACATTACATACATCACTAAAAACAGCTGTGTATGGTGCAGTGAGGTGTCAGCAATGATGCACAGCCTTTAGATGTTGAATATTTTGCTGTAACTACTGTATCAACGATGCACAGTCTTTGGATTTTGGAAATAATGGTGTAACAAATTGTATTAATTTTTATAGATTTTGAGTTTGAATAATATTTCTGCTGCATTATATATTACTTCAAAAACAGCTGTGCATGCTGCAGAGAGATGTCAGCCTTTAGCTCTTGGATATAATATAATATATAATATACTTGGAGCTATTGATGTTTCATTTTCTGACAGTGTCTATTGTTAGCATGAACAATAAAAAATGTATTTAAATGCACTGAAATGCTTTGGAGGAAAACAAATGCGTGTGCAAGGATGTAGGCGTGGTCTAGAAGTGCATGCTTTTTCTTCCCATTGAAAAACTTGTCTCAGTTCTATGCTATTAACACAAAAGAGCGGTACGTTAAATGTCACCCAAACTGCAAAAGAAAAGGTGTGCGTCACTCTCTGTGGTCGTACGGTCATGAACATGTAAGTCTTTACTGCCTACCATAGTCCGATCAAATGTTATTAGCGCCGAAAAGACGAATCTTGAAAATAAAACTAACTTTACCGTGGTGGGTTTTGTAGTGTTAGAGCACCGATGGACTAAAACACAAGCTGGATACAAAATCTTGAATTCTGTCAAACTGTTGAGGGCGAGGCTAAGTGCTGCACTAGAGAATATTGCGTAACATTAAAAATAACAAATGCTAGTTTTAGGCAATGGAGGAATGCCCTTTTGAGTCCATGTCTAAATGAATTTTTTTTAAGGGTGAATCATACACAACTTAGCTTACGCAGCTTAGTGTAAGATTAGACACAAAACCAGCCTAAAAGTCTTCAGTGCATGGAATCCACAGGCCTGGTACTGAGGGCCATTTAACTCAACTAATTCTTCAGGTATTCTCGTGAGACTGCTCGTCAAAGAATTTGACTCGCTGGGGCGAGAGACTGCGTTCATTTACAAGAGCTATGGGGAAAATTGAGGTTGTTGTTTTGGAGGTGTTTGATTTGCATTACAGTCTCCCTAATACATTTAAATGGGTAGCAGTAATAAAGTACATGAAAAGTGAATTTAAATGTAAATGTGAAGTTCATGGTTTTTGATCTAATTCACAAGTGAGAACAACAAATGGAGTGGAAAAAGAGCTGTTCTCTCCACAAAACGCTGCCCATTGTACCTCCAGTCACCTGGGATGGGGTGCACTGGCCAGCTTACTTTGTGCACTTTTGTCTCCATTATTAGAGTTGCTGTGTATGGGCCCCCACAAATGAATAGATGACCACAAGGTTTAGTACTGTCTGCAAACCAGGTTGCCTTCAGGGCTCATGCTGCCACCTGAACCAGCGTTTACCGAATGTGTGATCAGTGATTGATACCATTTATAAATGCCTACATCTCTTCCGCGGTGTACTTGCGTTCAGCAGGTGGCGAGTATTATCGCATGTTCCACGTAATGCAGATTCAGAGCCTGGTACGTGAATGAGCGGGATAGATAGATAGATAGATACACTTTCTGTTAGGCACTCATTCTTCCATTGTTAAACAGTGGCTGTAATGTTGTTTTATAGAATGTTGTGCAAGGATCTGAAGCAAAGCCCTCCTGGAACACGCCTAAAATATTTTCCCAGACTTCAACATGAGTTGATCAAGCTGTTCAAATGCTGAAAGCTCCTCTTTTTTGGAAGGGGTCCATAATAACTGAATTGAGTTGCATTTGAAACTAGCATTTAAAAGACTTAACTAAATTGGGAAATTAAAATTTAAAAAGAGCAAAATATAATGACAGATAAAAGAGGTAAGGGCTGGGAAACAGGCAGCTGTAGGCTTGCTGCATTTTTAATGGCAATAAACATGTTCACAGCAGAACGTATTACTTGTTCACCTACATTAACATTTGTCATAAGGGAACTGAAATTTGAGTGCTAATGAAAAAATAAACAATGCATTGCAAAGCAGTGAGAGCTTTTGCTTTACATCATGCAGGATGTGTGAAAAACTGACCTGAGAATAACCCTCCAGTGTTGTTTATCATGGGGAGGATGTTGTACAATCCTTGGCAAGGCTCCTTGTCTCCTACACTACTGTGAAATTGCACATCTGTTGCATTTTTCACATTAACCCCTTCGATTTATATTCAGTAGCTTACACTCTTTATTTGGTTTATACTATGAAACTAACTAGGCAAGTTAGGTAGTAATGAGGGTGAGAAATGGAAGTCTGGCCCAGCCCATGGTTCCTTAGAGTTTATGAGGTTAAAATAAAAAGCCAGTGTGACCTTTGGCTGATCACTCCAGTGCTGAACTGTACGGAGTTCTTTGCATTTAGAAAGTAAAGGTTTTTAGAGTATTCACTGAGCCATCTGCTTACAGTAGTTCCACCAAATTACGTACATACTCAGTTTGTGTAGTAAGGCGCCTGCAACTATGCAGTCTGCAACAGGGCACCTCTCTAATGATGACAGTCTCTCTCTAATGAACTAGCCTGTTATACAGTGTTCTTAGACTTTAATGATGTATATACTTTAATTCTTCATTAGGTTAGTCTTATTCAGTTTCTTTTTTCACAGTTGTGCATCAATAAACTAAAGGTGTAAGACCTTACCAGACATTTTTAACTTTATTTTCCCCATATAGCAACAGTTGTTGGACAATAACAAAGTACACTTCATTACTGTTATTATGTCATTACTATTATTATTACTATTAGTATGTTTTTCAGAGGAAAGTATCTGTTCTTTTTTTAAGCATTTCCTTTTTTATTTGCATATTTCTCACTTAAAAATTGAGAAACCTTTCCAAAAAGACACATTTTTCCAAAATGTTAACTTCACAGGACAAGGCAAAAACATTCTTTACTTTTATTGCAGGTGGATGTATTGAGATTTTTTTCTAGGTAATTTTGAGAAAAGTATTTCTCAAATTATATAGAAAAGTAAAAAAGTGCTTTTTATTCTACTATTTTCTGTGTGATATTGTGAAGCTATTTTTTTTGTTATAAATATGAAAGAACATGATGCAATTTCACCAATAAATCAAATCAGTCTTAATGCACCTTTCAAGTCCCTCCCCTGAATACTGAATGTCCAGTCATAGCTTAGCAACTATAACTAGGCCTGGGCAGAAATGGGCACAAATGCTGTAACATTTGAGCAGATATTTTTAAATCAGATAGCCCATATCCCAGAAGTCTGCATGGGGGCTGAAATTGTATCCATTTCTTAAACTCTTACTTTTGCTACTGAGGCACATTAAGAAGCAGTTACTTTTGTACTTGAACTCAAGTAAAAATATAGAGCACTTAATATTTTACCAAGCGTATCTCTACTTTCACTTCAATTTGTGTGCTTTGTCCACCACTGTTTCCACATCACTGTCCTAAGAAACGCATTGCCATTTTCATCAAGAATGAAGTATTTTTAAGATTTTATGGTAGCGAGTCTCTGAGGCCCATATAAAATGACTTGGGTCCTGTAGCTGCGTTTGTTTCAGTTTGACTCTGTTTGCTTTTTTACATGCAGTACTCTTGTTCATAAATGTGCAATGAGTAGAACATTTGTAGAGTCTTAGAGATGTGATCAGTATGACTGTTTCTCTCCACAGCATCTAAGTGCTCAGGATGTGGACCAGGATACAAAAGCCCTCTGGATGCCATGAAGGGTGAGTGCAACACAGAGGTTGGTAACTGTATCTATATAACAAAAGGGGCAAGTTTAAAAACCTGGTACCTGAACATTCCTCAAGGGCCTCGAGAGGAGATCGTTTACCTGCCCTGTATTTACCGGAACACTGGAGTCAGAAAGCCTGACTATCTTGCAACAGTTGATGTCGATCCCAAATCTCCCACTTACTGCACGGTAATGTGACGTTAAAAAAAGTTTGTTTATTATTTATATCATTTGTATATATGTGTGCTTCTGTAAACAAGAATAGATTCTTATTTGATTGAACAGTGTACTTTTTAAAAGGTGCTGTATAGATATGTGCATTCTGACTAAATTTGATATGTGAGTATCTGTTAATAGGTAATGAACGGATATACCACAGGAAAATAAAAAGCAAAACATTATATTATTAGACTTGACGCAACAAAATTCAGAGGGTTGAAGCTTTGATTTCCTTAAGACAAAATATCAGTTAGCTTTTATTAACTTTTGTATGGCTTGTGCAGGTTAAGGACTGGGTGTGGTAGGGTTTATTGTTTTTTGTTTGTTTGTTATGAGACCATGTATTTATTTTGTCCATTAATTGTAAAACACTTTGGTTTTAAATGTGCCACATAGATAAAACTTACATATAATATAAATAAAATATAAATACATATAACATATAAATACATATAAATAAAACATACCTAAAAAAGATAAAATCTGCATATTTCACACGCTGAGTTGTAAACAGTCATTCAGCGTGGTTTGATGTGAAATGGTTCATCATACAGAAACTAATAGACTCAGATTTCTTTACAGTGGTTGTGATAGGAACCAAGATTTGTAATGTCTACAACACAATTATAGCCATTTTAGTAACTATTCAAAATGACGAGTGAACCTACACATGCCTTCTGAGTTTTTATAAGACGTTTCAAACATCTGGTAAAGTGGTAAATCTGAGAGGGGGGCAAAAATTTAGGATTTTGCCTACATGTACCTCTTTGCCATAAATGGTTTAAAAAGGTATATATTAGGCAAAAAATGTTTCAAGCATCAGGCATAGCCTTTTTACTGCAATAGCTTTCTGTGATTTAGCTTTTAGAGGCATTAAACTCTTCAGACGTCTGGTTCCTATTACCAGCACTGTGAGCATTTATGACTCAGTAAGTTTCTCTTGAGCAGAACATTTCACATCAAACTGCTCTGAATGACTCTGTTTACCTCTCAATGATTTAATAAGTTATACAGTAATGTTGAAAAATTGCTGAAATAACCTTTTAACAATGCATCTTTGGCAGCAAGCTCACATTAAGGTGCTTGTTTGATATCCTCATGTGATGGAACAAATATCCTAATAGTGATTCCAGTAATCCAAAACTGGCACCTTGAGCAATTACAGGAAATTCCACCATTTTATTTCCTCTCAAAGTTTTTGCATAACTAGATTGTTTAGTATGTAAACAGTCATTCAGAGTGGTTTGATGTGAAATGGGTCATTGTAGAGAAACTTACTAACTCCGATATCTTTACAGCGGTGCTGATAGGAACCACAGGTCTACAACTCAGATATAGCCATTTTGTTTACTATTCAAAATGACCAGTGAACCTGCATGTGTAGCTTTTGTGATTTGCTTATTCAAACACACCTGATTCAGCTCAGTAGTATTACAGTATTGTAATGTTTAGTTGGTGTGTTAAGAACCAGACAATCACCAAACTGAGCTGGACGCTGGCCCACCAGGACCACAGTTTGTCACCCCTGTTTTACATACACTTAAACGCCACGCCTCAGAAACTCTGGGCTCTTCGAAAAGTGTGAGTTTGCCACTAGTAAATACAACATTGCAAATACAATATTTCCGACACAACTTGCAGCATTAGAGGCAGGATGGAACTAAAGTCTGCAGGAAAACAGATCTTCGGGAGGGGGGTTGGCAATCACTGCTGTAGTAAGAAAATCCTGCTTTTCAAACAGTCTCTCTGAATTTCTATTTAAGCTTGCACATTTCAGTAATTCTGTCCATACACTGGACGTGTTCAGGTGATTCACAGGTTGCCCATGCCCAACATGAATGATGAGCTGCACCACTCTGGCTGGAACGCCTGCAGCAGCTGTTATGACGATGCCTCCAAAAAGCGCAATCGGCTCATTTTACCTTCTCTCATCTCCTCCCGCATCTACGTTATTGACGTGGATACGAACCCCCGAGCTCCACGACTTCACAAGGTAAGACTGAATTCGGTGAGATCTGAGCACCCATACAATTACGATGCACAATAATTAGACACATAATGACCCGTAATCATCAAAGTTGCTTAAAAAGATGCACAGATTTGACTGCCTTTATTTTATTCAAGAGCTGCTCTGTGCCTGGTTCATGAGACTTTCATACGACTTGGAAACAAGCAGAGGTTTAGTGCAAATGATGAATCAGATTCAGTGCGTGAAATCAAGTGCCAGCATACCAGCACTATTTATATCAAGCACGCCCTAATTCATGCAGATGTTTTGCCAGGGAGCCAATAAAATGACAGCAATCAGCAGCTTGCAGGCCAATGGCTGTGCTCTAGTTGGAGTTTGAAGTTGAGCAGTGAGTGCATTGCTACCCATACTGAACGAACTTTATAGTGATAAAATTACAATGACTGGAAAGAATAAAATGTAAAATAAATAACTTTTTTTTTTAAGATGGTAGAATGATTGTGTAGTGTAATTATTTTCCTAAAATAACATATTTAGATGCTTTATTATTGCAGTGTATGAAATGTTTTAGGCTAGCTGTGTTTTTTATTGTTTTTATCATTTTTGGTGTCATTAGTATAAAACAAAAGCACAGTGTAATGTTTTAAATGGAACAGTTGCAGCACTTGTTTACACCAATATAGATACATCCATTATTTACTGGATTGTAATGTGCATGAATTGTTAGTGTTATTCTTAGTTTCGGTATTCATTTTTGTTATTGTTATTAGTGATATTGTATTATAGATATTGATATCATAGATATTTGGAACAAGTTTGCTGGTTTCATCCTGGCAAGACTCATCTGTAGTTCCAAGCACACTTTTTCCATTAATTTGTCTCTTCTCTCAGACAGTTGAACCTGTGGAGATGTATTGGAAGTGTGGATTGGCCAATCCTCACACGTCCCATTGCCTTGGCAGTGGGCAAGTTATGATTAGCACCCTTGGTGACCCCTCAGGAAATGGCAAAGGTTAGATACTATTCTGATTTCAGAGTCCCTCAATTTGGATGTTTGATATGTATGTAGTCTATAATCTGTACCATTCAATTCATTAATCTACAGATGAGTGGGTTCTGTAATAGCCTAGTTATACATGTAAAGTTTTTCTCATTTAATGTGTGAAGCCCCAACAAGCTGTCTGAAGGTGCTTAGCCATGGAAACGTCTTTTCAATGTGTATTGTTAGGTGGATTCGTGTTGTTGGATGGTGAGACCTTTGAAGTGACTTGTAACTGGGAGTTACCTGGTGAAGCAGCTCCTTTTGGCTATGACTTCTGGTACCAGCCACGCCACAACGTCATGATAAGCACAGAGTGGGGAGCACCCAAAATGCTTGCAAATGGATTTAATCCTGCCGATTTCAAAGCTGGTGAGTCTGTTTACGGGGGTGCATGTGTGTTTGCTCATTATTAGGAGTATAAAAATGCATTGATCTGAAGAGGAAGACCTGACTCGATCAACTGTGCAACGTTAGGATCAATTATAATTGATCTATAATATTCAGTAAAGTATGCATTCATTTTTAGGCAAAATACATTTATCTACTATATTCAAACATAGAAATGTCCTTTCAGGAATACTTCATTCAGTGACATTTATGTATACAGTGTATATTTAAACATGTATATGACATATATATTTATTAGACTATCTGGTCAAGTTCCATGTTTGGTGATTTGATGAAAATAAGTTGACTCCTCCTCTACTGGGAACACACTTCTGCACATTTTGATATACAGTCACTGTTTATTGTTCTGAATTTATCATATTGAGAAAAATATCTAAAATGTGGCCTGTGCAAAAGTTATGGCAAACTTTTATATTTTATCATTTATCATATTTTATTATTACATATGTATTAGAATTTGTTGTTGTAGCTGTTCTAAAGAAAATATAAGAGAAACATAAGTGTAGATCCTTCCAGTCAAGTAAAATGCATGATGCAGTTAAGTAATTAATATCCTACAATGCAGGTCTAGTTGACCACACTGTTATTTGCAAGTGATCAGATCAGATTTGCGTATCCAGACATCACCAATCTATCGGCGTGGGTTGCTGTAGTAATTACTTAGACGTCAGTAACTACGCAGCTACACTGGTGACACAGATTTCAAACACGTCTGCCAGCACTTCTGTCTCTCTGGAGTTGACATCATTATTTGTCAGGTTGCAAATGTCACAAAAGACACTTTGAAATCCAATTTCAGCAGCCAGAACATCCAAATTGAGATGCATCTGTAAAAATCTGATTGGAATTACATTTCAAACCACATACGAGTCTGACATTTTTTTTTCGCAGTCCAGACTATCAGAGTTGTCTAGATCTTGTATCCAGCTATCTAGATACAAAGTGGACATGCCAAACATCGAATTTGGGCTGGCAGTCTGAACATGGCTTAAGACTGCTCAACTGGCTAATGTTTCAGTAGGTACAGTGACTGAAGTGGCGTTTAGATATGAGAAAGTCTTCATTAAGCTGGGTTGGAAATTGTGAATGAAAGCACACATTTGGTGACCATAATGCTCATTCATTAGTGAAATATTTAAAGGATAATTATAGAAGAGCAAGACCACCATATTCTGTGGGTGAATGTGGCATAAATCAAGAGAATAGTTTAAGCCTGAATGCTTGACCCCTACAGCAAGGGAATCCGGTGGTTCTGTAATACTGTGGAGGGCATTTTACTAGCTTGTTTTGGGTCCACTTAGGTCGCTGCAAATCAAAACAGTTATTCTGACTGATTTAAGTTGTTGCGAGCCTTATTGCATGATGAAACATGTCTATTTTGATGGGTGTGGTCTCTCCCTGGAAGACAACTGCCAGATCCACAAGGCACGAGGGGTCACTGAATGGTTTGATGAGGATGAAAATAATGCAAATCAAATGTTATGGCCTTCACAGTCACCAGATCTCTGAGAGATTCTGGACTGACAGCACTTTCTACCCCATCATCGAAACACCAACTGGTGAATAACTTTTGGAAGAATTATGTCCCATCCATTCTGTACAGTTTCAGAGACGCTTCACACTGTGTCTTTTCCCTTTGATTGGTAACTTGTCTGTGTATGTTTACCATAACTTCTCTATGGAATTGCAGTCAGTTTTGTTGTCTGCAGTTATTGTTGTTCAGTGGTAACTGAATGTTTTTGGGGTTTTTTTTCGTCACCCCTCTTCAGGTCACTATGGCCAGTGCATCCATGTGTGGGACTGGACCACTCACAAGCACGTGCAGACTCTGGATCTGGGGGAAGAGGGTGCCATCCCTCTAGAGATCCGCTTCCTGCACGACCCTGCTGCATCTGAGGGCTATGTGGGCTGTGCACTGCAGGGCACTGTGTTCCGCTTCTATAAGACTCCGGCAAGCAGTTCCTTTAGGCAGCTAGTCATGAAATCCAGATGTTAATCATTATCTTAAGGACACAAATCTGAGAAATGATCATGATAATAGTGGCTATATGTTCTAAAAATGTTTTTTGTGCTTCTTAGAAAGGTGACTGGGCTGCAGAGAGAGTCATCAAGATCCCCAGTAAAAAAGTAGAGGGTTGGATTCTACCTGAAATGCCAAGTAAGGTTGTATGCAGTGAAACCTTTCTAGAGGGATTTGCTGAGGCATGTTTATGAGCGTTTATCTGTTTTGCTTCAGGTCTTATTACTGACATTATAATCTCATTGGACGATCGCTTCCTGTACTTCAGCAACTGGTTGCACGGTGACATTCGGCAGTATGATATCACTGACAGGAGGAATCCACGTATGGTGGGCCAGGTGAGAAGCCACAGGTTCTTCTAGGCATCAGATAATTAACAACAATGATGCACCTTTCATTCAGGTAATAATCTCAACATGCAACCAAGGTGAACTCAATACAGCGATAGAAGTGTAACATTTAGAAAAATACAGCATGTAGCTGAAATACAATAAAAGCAGTGAACCACCATAACATTTTAATAAAGGTTCTTCCTAAATAAAATGCCACCATGGCAATTTAAAAAGCACAATGTCCCACAACATTTATGAAAATGCCTTTCTAAATAAAAACGTCTTTCTTCTGGTTTTAAAAGAAGTCTGTTGAAGCCTGAGACAATCAGGAAGGGCGGTTCAAAGGCGAGGGCCAGCTGCACGAAAGGCATGATCACCCTTTGTATGCATGATTAGTGTTGGATCTGAGATGGTGACTACAATTAAACAATATAAAAAGTTCCTTGAGATAATGTGGTGCGTTTCCGGGGTTACATTGAAAAGCTAGGAAGGGAATTTTATTCTCAGTTCTTTGACACAGGAAGCCAATGCAGAGAATGCCATTTTGGTTTCATAAAATGACAAATTACTAGAGCTTTTTTATTTATATATATATATATATATATATATATATATATATATATATACAGTGGCAAGAAAAAGTATGTGAACCTTTTGGAATTTTATGGTTTTCTGCATTAATTTGTCATAAAATGTGATCTGATTCTTATCCAAGTCAAGCGTATTGACAAATATAATGGGCCTAAAATAACACAAAAAAATTCTGATCATTCATGTCTTCATTGAGAACAACCATAAAAACCTCATAGTGCTAGTGGATAAAGTATGTGAACCCTGGAGTTAATGATCTCAAAAAAGCTAATTGGAGTCAGGTGTTGGCATACCTGGAGTCTTGTTAAGAAAATGAGTTTGGACTGATAAAAACCACACAAACTTTTTGAGTTTGCTCTGCACAAGAAGGATACGCGTATGTGAGCCATGCCTCACCAAAAAGAGCTTTCGGAGGATCTATGATCAAAAATGGTTGATTTACATAAAGCTGGAAAGGGTTACAAAGTGATTTCAAAGACTTTAGAAATTCACCAGTCTACAGTAAGGCAAACAATCTACAAATGGAGACAATTTGGGACTGTGGCTGCTCTGCCAAGAAGTGGGCGCCCAGTCAAAATGACCCCACGAGCACAATGGAGACTCCTCAATGAAGTAAAGAAATAAGCCCGAGTGACAGCCAAAGATTTGAAGGCGTCACTGGTACAGGCTAACATCTGTCTTCATGAGTCTGCAGTCCGTAAAACCTTGAACAAGCAGGGTGTCTGTGGCAGGACACCACGAAGGAAGCCGCTGCTTACTAAAAAGAACGTTGCTGTACGCCTGAAGTTTGCAAAAGAGCACATTGACACTCCACAACGGTACTGGCAAAATGTTTTGTGGACAGATGAAACTAAGATTGAACTATTTGGAAAGAACACACAGCGCTACATCTGACATAAAAAAGGCACTGCACATCACTTGTGGAGCAAGTCCACAACAGAATGGCTTATGAAAAACAAAATCCGCCTTTTGGAGTGGCCAAGTCAGAGCCCAGATCTCAACCCAATAGAAATGTTATGGTAGGCGTCCAAGGAACATGACAGAGCTAAAGCAGCTCTGCCAGGAAGAATGGGCTAAAATTCCTCCTGAACGATGTGCAGGTCTGATCCACAGCTACAGGAAGCGCCTGGTTGAGGTTATTGCTGCTAAGGGGGGGTCAACCAGCTATTAATTCCAAGGGTTCACTTACTTTTTCCACTACCACTTTGTTGAATGAGTGTGTGCAATAAAGAAAAATTAAAAAAAAATTGTGTTATTATTTTAGGCACATTATATTTGTCAATACACTTGACTTGCATGAGGATCAGATCACATTTTATGACAAATTAATGCAGAAAACCATAAAATTCCATATTTATTTATTTATTTAATAATAATAATTAGTAGTAGTAGGGGTGGTGGTGGTAGTAATAGTATCTGTCAAGTCGATATTGACTCCTGGTGACCCTGTGGATGGTGGTTTTCCAGAATATCCTGTCTTCTCTTTGGGTGTTCAGGATACTTAATGGCTTGTTCATGATTCCTCTGATTGTGTCCATCAAGTTTGTTTCTGACCATCCTCTTCGTCTTTTACCTTCTCTTTTTTAACTTCTTTGCTGATGTGGAACCATTCTGTTTCCTTTCTGTCATGTGTGTGGCTAGTTAACCAGTGTAGGGGTTCTTCACTAGAACAGTAACAGTAGAACAGGAACATTTTCCCTAATTTTATGTGGTTAACACAGTTGAAGGCTTTGCTCTAGTCAGTGACACTGTCCTTCACACAGTGTGAAAATTTTGTGATGAATGGTCCAAAGCAAATAGTCCAAAATCACTTGTAATAAAATCTTGTTATATTAATTTGCATTAAAGTTAAGAACACAGTCTTTCTGTTACAGTTACCATTTTGGAGATACAAGGTTTTGTTCCACCAGCATCTGATGGTTTTGCTGCTGAATTATGTGACAATTATGTGTCTTTTAAGGTCTTTCTTGGAGGCAGCATTCAAAATGATGGCCCTGTCAAAGTACTGGAGGACAAGGAACTGGACAGCCAGCCATCTCCAAGGATAGTGAAGGTACATAAAAAGCACCTGCAGTCATATGGAAAAGTTAAAACACCTTCAGTCAAACTACATTGTTTTGTTGAATATTTTGAATATAAGTGAAGTCCTGTGCAAAAGTTTGGGCACACATGGTCAAATTACATGTTTTGTTTTTGTTTTGTCAAAATAAATTAACACATCATCTACAGAGAACACACTTCAGCACAATTTAATGCACAATTACTGTTTATTTGCTGAATTTAACATATTGGGGGGGGGACATGTGTCCAGTGCAAAAGTTGTGGCACATTGTGTGTACAAATACATAAAAATGTGTACTAAATTTTACATGTAACCCCTGAAGAGGATATGTTAACTTAGTTTCACTTCAGAGAAAATCAACAAAACATGTAATTTGGCCAGGTGTGTCCAACTACTTATAGTTCTGACGGTTGACTGTTCACTGAAGATAAGTGTTCTTGTGCATCAGGGCAAACGTATACCAGGGAGTCCACAGATGCTGCAGCTGAGCTTGGATGGGAAAAGACTCTATGTAACCACTTCTTTGTACAGTGCATGGGACAAGCAGTTCTATCCTGAGCTCATCAAGTGAGACAAACTGTTATAAGCCATTTTATTTTGAGTGATTTTCGCTCTGTGAAGACTTAAATTGCTCAATAATGATGTTTCTTTTTTTAAATTCAGACAAGGCTCAGTCATGATGCAGATTGATGTGGACACAGTGAAGGGTGGCTTGAAACTCAATGAGGATTTCTTGGTGGATTTCGGAAAGGAGCCTGATGGTCCTGCACTTGCTCATGAGATCCGATACCCTGGGGGCGACTGCACCTCTGACATTTGGCTGTGAAACAGCAGCTCACTCTTTTATTATTCAGGAAATCCACATGAAATATTATTCCTAGTTACGCTTCTCCCTTATTTCACATATGCTGTATGTCTAAAAGTCAAAGTGCAAACACCTGCTCATCCAACATTTCTTTTGAAATCAAGGGAGTTTGCTGCCATGGTGACCTTAGACTCCTGTGCAGCTGCTCCGGAGCATCTTATTCTATTGACTGTGCTTTTATATTGATATTATCTAAGCTTTGTGTGTGCAGTTGGACACCTGTATCAGCAATTTAAAGTAGCTAAATTCAGTAATTATAGCAGAGTGTCCTGGACACTTTTGGACACACTGTGTATTATCTACTTAACTCAAACATGCTTTTGTCTTGCTTCAGATGTCTTTACTAATATCAACATATGATTGCTGTAATTCATTAATACACCATTCTGTAGTTATCTGACACAAATGGTAGACATAATATTTTTATATGGTTATGTGAATGGGAGAATGAAGTGTATACAAAGTAATTACTTTTTTCAAATAAAAAAAACAAAAATCTTATTTTTTGCAAACGTTATTCACTATAAAAAACAACAAATACAAAAGTTCAAGGCACATTTCAATTGATATTATTATAAAAAAGGTATTCGAGCCCAAAACTAGCATTTATTAATTATTAGCATCTAATAGTAATTAAGTAGTTATTTGTCGTCATATGTAATATTCTGTACACACTTAAAAAATATGGTTCTTCTGGGGTTCGTAGTAAAAAACAATTGTTCTATATGGAACCATGAACACTCAAATAACCCTCTGCATATTTAAACAGTTCTTTGCATCGTACACAGTTCTTCAGATCGATGGAGAATGTGTTAAATACGGTTCTATTTAGAACCTTTTTGAAATGGGTTCTATATAGCACCAGAAAGGGTTCTTCTATTATTACAAAAAAGTCTTGCTCTAGAAATTATTGCAGCACCACTGTAGGAGGGAAGCAGACGTGTTTACCGCAGATAAAGAGATGGTTACATTTTTCATTTTGGCTAGAGTGGCTTTCCATATCGATTTACTCTGTGTTTAGTTCTCATTGCCATTTTTATGTTGGAAATGAAAGAGATAAATAATTGCTGTATTTTGCTAAAAGATGATGGCTTGACGTTCACTTGTGCCACATTTTTTAGGGACGCTTTTTCTTTTTTTTTCCCTTTTTTTGTTGATGAAAATGGCTTTAAACCAGTACTGACAGCTTCGTGCTTGTATATAAGTAGTTGGACAGTGACAACTTTTGGTAAACTGGTAAAGTTCAGAATGTGGACTTCAAGGACATGTATACTGAGTGAACTCTAGAAATCCGCAGCGCTTTTCATTCAAAGTCCATGTGTCTTGCTGTGTGATGCTGCATTATTAGATCATTCACAAAAGAGCTTGCAAAAAGGTCCAGAGCTGATTCTAGGTGTGGCATCTGGCACCTGTTGCTGTTGTTTCTCAAGGTCAGAGAACTGTCAGTGACAGTGAAGTAGATCATCAAGAATCAATCAGACACAGAGCCAAAAAAAATGGCTTTGTTGAAATATACTGTTTGGTACATTGCTAAAGAGCCCATACCTAAGTAAACCACATTATTTTTCTTTAGAAGACTGTGGTAGTATAAAACACTGTTACTGTTTCTAAATGTGCCATTCGCTCCTCAGTCCATAGTCTATGTATGAAACTAAGCTGCAAAAACAGCCTGCTTTTAATTTGTTGTTTTTGTGATGTCACAAAAGCTAGCTAATGTACATGTATCTGTCTGTTCAGCCTATTGTACTTTAGCTTACTTTACTTTAACTGTACTTTACTCCAAGCCTTTTATGAATTTTTTGTACATTTTCTTAATGAAGTACGACATAAGCAGCCAATCAGAACAGAGCTCATTAATATATTTCTCTATGGGACATTTTAAAGGAAAGGAGCTCAGCAGTGCAAAGCATTGTTCAGAAAGTGCACAGTTTTAAATTATTTTAATTTGTTAAGACTTTTTGAAACATTAAGTTAAATCTGTTCACACACCAGGGTCAGCCTGACAATAACGACATAAATATCCAAAAAGCATCATCACTGTGTAAATTTGGTGGACAGTAGTGTCTGTGTGGGTAAAACATTGACAGAATCATATTGGCCTCTTATAGTGATCATCTCACCCTCTTGTTAGCATACCCGACTGATCTTAACAAGTTCTTAGCTGAAGATTAACTCTGGTTCAGTTTAGATTTTTGTGAAGAATCGATAGAATGAGTCTTGTGCAAAACTAAGACCCTTTCAGTAAACAGTCCTATGTTATTAAAAGTGGATTTGTATGGGTAGGGCACTGTAGTTCTACTGCTCAGGGGCACCACAGGATCTTAATCTGGCCCCGCTTCACTGAGCAGCATTTCACTCTTAAAAACAAGACCAAAGGTATAACCCATCACCAGTGAAGATGCCCGGTGTCTAAGAACTGTGGTTCTCAGATTTCAGGCAGTCATCAACCAAGTACATTAACACTACCAATAAGATTAATTAAATTTCTCCGATTACTTCTTGTACCCTGAAATGAGGCTGTAATGCATATTTGACTCACTCAATCCAGATGTAAATACCCTCAGATTAAATCAAGGTGGCTTTCATAAAAGCTGTGTTTACCAAATGTGTGCTGTCCCAGCACTACCAGGCCTTGATTATGTAATCAAGCCTCACCAAAACAAATCAGCACAGCAGTGGGTCAGGATTAGTGCTGCAATATAGCAGTAGCGTAAAACCTGAGAATGGGTGTGTTCACAGCTGCCTGAGGCCTGTCCTGCTGGCAAATGAGTAGATGTACAAGCTCTTTATATAGTGACTATATTTGAGCCGTTTATTCTACCAATCCAATCTAAACAGTTAATAACAGTTAAATTAATGCTATTAATACATAGATTGATATAAAGTCAATTGTAAACAAAACAGTTCTTTGCTTGGTTTAGGTTTTGTTTTTGTTTTTGTTTTTTTTGTATTTTGGTAAAGCTAAACGTGTGTAAAGTTCGCCCACTTTTGCTGAACCTTTCGTGTACAAACTGTGTCCACATACTGCTCCGCCCAGATGAAATACCCTGACCGTACTTAAAGGCTGAACTCTCCACAGGAGAGAGGCTGCATTCTATGAAAGCACTTTACTTATTTCAGTCTGAAACCAAGAGCTGAAGGTATGAAATATACAACAGTATGTTGTACTACATCAGTCAAGATAGTCTAAATAGTACTCCATACAAAACTCATGATGCAATGTTGAATTTAGTCTGCATTCCTCAGCAGGGGTGTGAATTTGATCTGAGAGGTGGGGGGACCAACATCAGGAGGCTAAAGCCTATATACAGCAATTCAAACATAAAACAAGGTATGCCTACAATTACACCTATCAAATTGACATCTTGTGCTTTGTATGTCAATAATAAAATACAAAAACAAGTAATATTATGAACAGGAATAATAAAATGTATATGATGTGTAGAGACTCGGTTTTGTCATCTGTTCAAGCTGCATTTTTCCTTTTCATTGTGTCACTGAAATTCTTAGTCTGATCTGCATGTTGCTGTAAATATTTTTGTAAAATACCCCAATAATAATGAAAATGGGGACAATTCAAAAGAAAAAGGAAGGACCATTATTTGTTAATAACTGTTAGGACAGAAGTTATTAACAAATAATGATACACTAAGGAAGGGGTGAAATTGATTCCAGGGCAGGTTAGTGCTTCTTCCTTGTTGTCATTGCTGACAACAACAATAACTAAACAAAATAACAATCTGTTTTGGCTTTAATTAGAGTTTTAAACTGCCATTGACAGTTATGTATTAACTGATATCTGACAGCTCTTCCAGTGACCCAAAAAGTGTAGGGGAGAAATTCCTGCTGTGATAAAGAACATTAGTTTTTTTTCATTTCATTATAGTTGGTTAAATATTGAGGAACTATTTCTCTTAGTACTGTACTCACTTTCTCTTGTAATCTTTAGGATTGTGTCTCCATGATGGAGAATATGCAGCCTACGGCATCACATGCCTTCTGTGTTGGGATGATTTTGGTGCAGCTTGTGTCTCCAGGTTTCTCTCATTTGCGCTAATATCTGACAAAGGTGATGCAATGCAAGTTCACTAAGATGGTACAACAGGTATCACTTTAAACACTCACCAACAGTCAAAGGGGAAGCCTACCAGTTTGTCTAAATGCCTGTCTAATTCCATCATTAAGATGTAAACATTAAGATCTTAAAAACACACCTCAGAGTGGTTTGCTCCGTTCTAGAGACACTTACTAAGTCAGAATTGTTCACAATGGTGGTGATGGGAACCAGACTTCTGAGTTGAATGCCTTTAAAAGCTCTCTCAAAGAACGTTATCACGTGAAATGGTTATGAACATGCTGCCTGTCTGAGTCATTGTTTTTGAGAGAAGATTTTGGACTACAGTGAATTCTTAAATCTATTCATGGTGCTGTAAGGAAAAATAGTCCACAAAGAAAACATTTTTCAGATTTGTCACTATTTTTAGTTTATTAGCATTACATTTAAGCACTCAGAACAGCAAATAACATGGCTCATACATGGTAACTGGATCCTTCACAGCCTGCAATGTGTTTCATTCATTATTTATCATCAACATGTTTAAGACACAACAGTAGCAAATAAATAAGCAAATAACATTGCGGCTTCTTTATTCATTGAAAGTAATGTTTAGATTGGAGGTGGGTAAATTTTTGCAATGGAACCCATGAGATCCTGGTTACGCTACTGTGTAGACCTTTATTCTCTTATATTCTCTCCTCCACACTTTAAAAATGGTTCTTCAAGGTTCTAGAAGTTTCTTAGTAAAGAAAATGGTTCTATATAGAACGATAAACACTCAAAAGAACCCTGCATGAGTAAAGCATTCTTCAGACTGATGGAGAAGATGTTTTATATGGTTCTATATATAACCTTTTTGAAAAGGGTTCTATATAGCACCAAAATATAGCATCCTAACAATAGAAGAAGCCTTTTGGTGCTACATAGTGTCCTACACGAGCTTTGACTGACTCACTGCTAACATTGCTGGATTCAGAAATTCAAAATAGATGCAAATGTGTGATTAATAGTATTTCCTCTCGGGTGACACAGATGATATCAAGCTGATAGAGACAAAGCCATGACACAGCCAGTGGTGTATGTACAAAAAAGAACTTGTTTTAAGTCCTTCAGTACTACTATTCATAATTTCTGCAGGGACTGTACATAAAACATGCTCAAAGATTAAGCATGCAGAGGGCTGCTTCATCTTAAAGGAATGATTTACTGACAAATCAAACAAACTTGATCAGCCAAATCGTTTTGGTGTCCAAAGTTTGATTCTTTAGTTTTGAACTGAAACTTCGAGGCTAATGTAGCTAAAACGTAACAGAAATCTATTTAAAAAAAAATCTTTTGGCGGATGTAGACTTCTGTTATCTATTATTTTAAAGGAATACTTCAGCGAAAAAATCAGTTTTCACAGTTTGCCCATCTTACCTCATATGTAGTCAGTCAGCCAAGA